TTCCTTCGGTATTTTGCCGTCAGGCACTTAAGTTTGCCACTCCTGGTATCACAGCAACTGATGCAGCAAAAGCCCAATATTTAACATCAAATAATTGCTTAGACTGCTCTATCTTTCTCTCACATGTGCTGTGTGTGCACATGAGACCCCACGAGAACATGCAATATTTTAAGCTCTGGAGTGCTTTGCACTTATGACAACTAATTGTTACATGAATTTTCAACTGCATGACAGCAAGCGGCACACGGTCAGCCAGTCGCCTACACGAAGCTGCCTCCCTTGTGGAAGCAGCTCGAGAAACTGAAGTTGTCGTTGCTTCAGAACGTGATATGCACATTTCAGACATCAAACTGGCAACACTGGGATGTTCATGCAACAGGAGATTGCACGGCAAACTGGAGCTCTCCCTTAAGCGGGAGACATAAACAAACCTAAATGCACGTGTACGGCCCATTCACACATTATCTTTGAATGTGCGGGGTTTTCGTGTAACCTCAGCTGTGTGAAGAGGCTCACAGTTCTAATTTTTAAAATCAACACAGCTTCCTCTACCTCATGGGGTGGAATAATATGAAGTAAGCGGTTTGATGATGATGATGGTTTATGTAACACCATCACCATGCATGATTTACAAACCATAATTTGGACGAATTATCAACCAGGCTGCAACTCACAGGAGAAAAGCACAAGGAGCCAGATTCTCTATATTTTGTTTCCCTCATATCCTTTTTCTTCTGCAAGACAGCTTACATACTTGTCCTCCCCATTTTGTCTTCACAACAGCCCTGTGAGGTAGGTTAGGCTGAGAGTCAATGGCTGGTCCAAAGACATCTCGTGAGATTCATAGCTGAGTGAAGACTAGAACCTGCTTCTCCCAAGTCCTGACCCAGCAGTCTAACCTTGATGGATCTGTGTAATCTAAAACAGGCACAACAAGCAGTGACAGAGGATGGAGGAAGCAGGTGCATCCCATCTAGTTGCTTTTAGAACTGCCGTACGCCTGCCCAGTCTGTTTCTCTAACCCAGGAGTCCCTGCTCTGATTGGCAGCAGCTCCCCAGGGTCTGCAGAAGAGAAGGTCCTTCTCATCACATGTCACTTGATCATTTTAGTTGGAGCTGCCTGGGCCTGGGCCTGAACCTGGGACCTGGGTACCAAGCATGACCAGAAACTTGTTATGTAAGCGGTTAGTCACAAAATGCCTTTACATTCTTGTCTGCAAGCAGCACTGAAACCATCTTTTCCTAGTCTGAACATCTTGGAGAACTGGTTAACAAGCCAGGATGAAAGCACCAACGTTGAGCATATGAGAGGAGGGAGGCACACGGTTCTTCCTCAGGCCAATAAACCATGGCTTACCAGACACAGAATGCAACCAGGTCTGAACCAGGTTTCATTCGCTCCATTGTTACATTTCCATACCACCCGGTAGCCAGAGCTCTCTGAGTGATTCACAAAGATCAAAGCCCTAAAATACATGATAAAAACCATGGATATATAATGCATGTATGTACACACATCTAAGAACATTTTAAAACAAGAGCAATTCAAGACCTGATCCTTTGCTGCCTCTGCTTGAAAGAAGCAGTTCTACCTGGCTCCCAAAATAATAAGGGAGGCCACCACCAAGAAGGTTCTCTCCCTTGTTGCTGCCATCCAAACCTCCCTTAGAAGAGGCACCTGGAGGAAGGCCTTAGATGAAACCATAGTGCATAGCCAGGTGCATGTCAGGGGACGTGCTCCGTCAGGTATTGTGCTCCCAAACCTTTGTAGGGCTTTATAGATCAAAACCAGCACCTTGAATTAAACACATGAAACACCCAGTTTTCAAGTTAGAGATTTATTAAATAAAGTTAGTTTAATTGTGTTGATTATACATCTAGCAGCAATTATATTTCCACATTATGAATTGAGAGGAGGAAAGAGATGAATGAGACAAACTTTTCTCAAACCAGCATTTGCATAATTTAATCATTTTGGTGGAAGCATGAATGTGTGTGCATGCTTTGTGTTGAACATCAGGAACCTATCAGAAAGGCATAATGAGAAAAAGCTTTCCAGCTCCTAGGACTTGCGCAGGAGATCCCATTTCCCCTCAAATAGAAATGACCATCAAAATTAAAATTTCAATTAATAGCTGCAAGAACACCTTTAGCAAAAGTTTGGTGACTAACATGCACACCATCTTGGATACAATAGGAGATTTGGACTGCCACACTAATGAATGAAAGAACAAGGAATAAGCAACTATAGGAGGGGAGAAAGAATTACATCAGAATTTTCCACGAAGCGGAATACCATTTATCCATTATTGGAATAGCTTCAAGACAGGTGATTTAATGATACAGTTGAAGCATTACAACTGTCTTGCATGATTGCGCTGGGGAAAAAAACCTTTATATAAGAAGAGGTTGAAAAGCCAATTGAGTTTGGATTACTAAAGACGAGATGGCACCTTAGTTTCTTATGTAACGCTGATAGCAACTCTTGGAGGTCAGGAGCAGTGCTTCAGTCTATCACCAAACTGAAACCATCTATCACAAATAGCACGGCAATGAGAAAAAGCACAAGACTCCCCCTCTCTGTTGCATCGTATGTAATTTCTCCATCAGTCTTGAGCAAGCGAGTCTCAGAATGGGGCTCCAGACATTGCCAGCATCCCCAGATGTCCTTTTGTGCTGGATGCACTTACGGTCCACCAGGGAAGCCCTCCGCGTGCACAAGCCCGTATTCTGCACACCGTCGCTGCAGTCTGACAACCAGAAGCGGGACTTAACTAAACCCCAGATCTGGACTGGAAATGAGCTGCTGATGCTCAGCCTTTGATTCAATCCAGACTTGAGTACGGAAGCAAGAAGGCTACCACGTGGGACTTGGGGCCATCAAGCACCCAGAGAGAAAGCACTTGTCAGCCCAACTCACAGTGGCGGGCAACATGAGAACTGCAGGTCCATGCGATTCTGGGATGGATGGCCGACTGCCGCTGCGCAAGGCACCTTGCTTGGGCCCTGCACTGATGCATGCCAAAGTTTTTTGGGTTTTTTTTGAGGAAGATATTCATGCAAAAGAAATATGAAATATAATGAAGTGTTGAGAGAAAAGGGTGTTCAACCTTGAACCTTCGGCTGTTTTACCAGAGAAGAGTCCTTTCTCCAGTTGCCATGAAGGAACTCTAGTCTCCAAATGAAAGGGGAAGACTTCACCTGCATTAGTGTTGTGGGCTTTCCAGAATTTTTTTGGTATGCAAATAAGGGCATTTTACATAGGGTAATTTGCACAGGAAAAATGGATACTGCCCCAGAGAGTGATCTTATTTTTCATGTGTATTTTACTTAGTATTTAGTAAACCACAAAGCTCTTTTTAAAAAGTACCATGTAATTTTTATCCTAATACGCCACAAACATTTCACCTGAAATTCTGAGCAGAGAGAAATTATAGTACACTTAAGGTGCAATTCTCTGCAAGTTTAGACAGAAAAAAACTCCCTTCTGGGAGTTGTAATCTTTTTTTCCCTGTCTAAACATGCAGAGGATTGCATCTTTAATATGCTATATTATGTAGACATTTTTACTGGAATACTTGAAAAACATGAAAAGACAACAGCATGAACTTCTCTTAGATTTTTAAAAAAGAAACCCCTCTCATCTGAAGATATTGAAAACTGTTGACATTACCAAAACATTTTTATAGCCAAAGAACCTGGCATAATGTACTGACAACTTTCCAGCAGCCAATCTTGTCTGGTACAGTATTTGCGATTGTCATCCATTCATTTATTCTAATGCACTTAAGAAATGGAAAATGTTCTGCAGAAAAATCAAGCATTTCAGAGATTTCTATCCACATCACTGCATGAAGTAGCGCTATGACTGAGCACTGAAGAAGCTGCACCAATGGCTAGACCATACAGTTTCCCGCAGGAGCATTGCAAGGGTGATAGACAGGACAGTCCTGCCCCAGCGTGTGGGAAGACATCACTGCAAGACAGCAAAAGAGCTTGGCATGTTTAGCCTTTGAAAGGCTCCAGTTTCAGGAAGCCAGATTCCGACTGGACATCAGGAAGAACTTCCTGGCTCTTGGAGCATTGCGGCAGTGGAACCCGTGACCGAGGGAGGTCTCCCACACTGGAGGCATTCAAGATGCAGCTGGGCAGCCATCTGTGAGGGATGCTTTCATTGGGAATCCTGCACTGGGCAGGGGGCTAGATCCAATGGCCTGCTGGCCCCTCCAATTCCTCTGTATAATTGGAACTGCTTGTCGATCTTAACAGCTGGCTTGTACCACTTCTGGCCCATCAAGCCCACCTTACCACCAACCTATGGGGCAAGTAGATTCTCAGCCTGACCTACCTTGCAGGATTGTTGTTACGAAGATAAAAATGAAGAGAATTATGGACACTGCTTTGGGATCCTCACAAGAGGAAAGATATAAATGCCATGCCATGATTGCGATCCTTTACAAACGGCAACACCATCTCTCTTTCTCTCTCTCATTCTCAAATGCAAGAGTAAGGCTACTTCTAAGACAATGTTTGCTTCAATACACGTCCCTGATTGAAAAACAAAGAGCATGTGTTTTTTTGCTTAGAAAAATCACCTGCATGTAAATGTTACAGGCCAACTAAAATTCATATGATTTTGAAGTTAGCTGACTATGCAATAATGGCAAATTAACTTACCATTAACAGAAAGCCAGGCAAAGAATTTACTCAAAGATGGAAAGCTTATTCTGAGCAATTTCATTAATTGTTAAAGAAAATATAGTTTTTATAAATTTCAATAATTACTACTTTAAAGTTAAAGCAATAGACTGGACAAATTTTGTCTGAGAATTGAATTGTTTTGATGAGATTATAACCCATGAGATTTTTGCTTTTTTAATGAATGTGTTTAAATTTTGAGGTCACATGCTAAATGTGTGGATTGACCCTTGGCACCTTCCTTTCCTATATCCCCATTCCTTTCTTATTACATCTTGTGGGAAAAAATGAAATTCACATGATTTAATCAATTAAAATTTATTTAATCAGATAGTACAACTCTAGTTAAAATCCTTGTCTTTTTGTTTGAGAGACTAGTGTAAGACTGTGCTGTAAACATATTTCTAAAATCTTCCATCTTTAAAACTGCAAAATACAGATTTCCATGTGCAGTGACTAAAAAAGTAGGTTATTTATTAAAAATACAGTATTAAAGATTCTTTAAAAACACAGGAGATTAAGTCTTTTCCAGAGGCTTTTAGTGGTCCACTGAGTTATCTGGTTGAGGCATCATCGAAGTGACATTGCTGGGATAGCTACAAAAAGAAAAGGACTTGTTACTTGTCTCAAAGAGGAAAAAGTCAAGAAAAATCGTCAGCTGCTGATCTCTCACCCTGCGTGCATCAAACCAAGCTAGCTCATTTTCCCAAAGAGCTGAAATCAAGAGGGACCATGTGCATTTTACCCAGCTTGGCGGCTGGGAAAGGTCTGGCAACACATGATCTCACAGCCTCCTTAAGGTGCAACTTGGAGGTTGTATGTGGATTAGTCGAACCCTGAGAAGAGGAGATGGAGGGGAACGGGCGAGTGCTTTTCAAAGGGTTGCCATGCAGATGAGGACCCACAACCGGTTTCTAATGATGCAAGAGCAGAAGACACGCAGCCAAGTTCCAGGAAGGCAGATTGGGGTGAGCATCAAGAAAAGTTCCTTAAAGTTCAGGCAATGGCACCAGCTGCCCAGGGCCACTGGGGGCTCTTCCACTGGAGGGCCTCGTGCATAGACTGGGCAGCACCTGCCAGGGCTGCTTTGCACTGGATTCCTGCAGTACTGAGCAGGGGATGGATGGCCTCAATGACCCCCTCTAGCTTGCACACTTTTCCCAATACCCAGTGAAGATGAGAAATGCTATTGTGACCGAGGGGTCTTCTTCCCTTGGGAGGGAGCTTGCATCATGCGACCACTTCTCTAGCTAGGATCGGGGCCCTCTTCCCTTGAGAAAGCAGCGGCCTGAAGGGGAACAGCAGCAGGAAGCTGTTCTTGCTGCCCCCTCCCGGTTGGTTGTCCCAGTGCTTTGCTGGGGTCCCTGCTCTGAATTCAGTTGCTCAGTGCTCAGAAGGGGGCAAGGATCTTCTTTCAGCCCCAGGGCCAAATTCCATTTCAGAGACAAGCCTAAGCGAGGTGGCCAAACGCAGCCCTGCAGAGGAAATGCCTGGTGATAAAGATCTGGAAGCACTTAAGCACACAAGACTAGCCCTGCTGGATCAGACCCACGGTCCATCCAGCCCAGCACTCTGCACCCACGGTGGCAAGCCAGCTGCCCACAGGGTCCCTCCAGCAGGATGGGCGCAAGGCCTCCTCCTGCCCAGGCTCCCCAGCAACGGGTGGATGCAGGCAGGCCACTCTGGTGGAGGAGGGAGCCCACGGCCAGCAAGGCTGGTGGCCACGGAGACCCCGCTCCCCACCTCAGCCTCTGTGTTTGGCAGCTTGCATGCACTGAGGGTGCAGCACAGTGGATTCTGCTCTGCTGGGAAAGGAAGTTCTTAACCTTGCAACTAAACACGGACAGCACATGTTCCACCTATTTAAAGCAGACCCATTCAAATCAATGGGACTTATATTCGTTATGACTTCCTTAAGTTCCTTGACTTTCAACGGGGCTACTCTAGGTTGGGCTAATATGACATACAACCCACTATCAGTATCATTGACAGCTATCAGTAATTACTATCGATAATAATCAGTGATCACTATTACTGAATCAGGAATAGTAAAAGGGGGGGCAAGTGCCAGAAGTCACCTTTCGATGGTCGGCTCGTTTTAGAACAGGCCAATCACCTCTCCAGTCACCGGGTCCAGGTCGATGTCATAGAAGCAAGGCCTGGTGGGAAGGCCCGGCATTGTGCTCATCTGGAAGGAAAGCAAGATTAACATGAAAGGGAGGCATGATTAGGAACATGCCTGGAGCACAGACAGGCAGCACACACGCTCCTCCTGGCTCAGAGGCAGCGGCTGACCAGAGGCCCCTGCGAAGACCACAGGAGCCGGACGGAGTCCTTGCGCTGAGAAGTGGAGCAGGATTTCCCGGCATCATGTAGCAACGGATCCCACTGATTAAATCTGCACAGCATGAACAAGCACATCTTTTGAGCTGTGCAGAATCTCTTGCCATTCAGCCTCACTGGATGGCCTGACTTCTGGCTTGCATGCTTGCCTAATTAATTATATTACTCCCTTTTGCCCCTTTCTCCTCAGCATGTATAATTTCATCCACCTCCATTAAGTTTCCTGCTACTTGCCTTTAATTCCTCTTCCTCCTACTCTCTTCTTTTGCTGAAAGACAGCCCCCTCCCTCTTATTCCCATTTTACAAAGCGCTCAATTAGGGAAGGCAGAGTTACCTGCTCAGAGCTTTGAAAAAACTCTTTTTGGCTTAGCTGAGATACGACTCCCCACTTCCAGGATTTTAACCCTACCTGCCCAACCACAAAGGCAGCCGAGTATTTAAAAGAAAGATGGAGCTGCAAATCAGACGGAATATTCTTTGCTGCAATACGCCTGAAGGGATGCCACATTTGTATGCAGTCAAGACTTCCTGCACACGCAGGAGATCATGACCCTTAATCAGTTGTATTCTTTTTGCAGCTGCTTTCTGAGATATTTTTTACGAAGGTGAAATATGCTCTGGATGGAGGGACTGCCAACGCCTGTGCTCAGCTATATCGTCAAGTCAACAAACAGCAATGCCGATTAAACACCAACAAAAGCCACAGTACTGGAAATGACTCCCATCTGTTCCAGGGCAGAATGGGAATGAATTCTAAGCAGCATTTCTGCTCACTGCAAGCCCTGTGCTTGATAAGCTTTCTTAATTGCAAAAAGGGTGGGGGAAACAGTGAGTCCCCTTCACTGATCCAACAACCAGGCACCCAGGTGGGGCCTTGAAGCCAAATATGCGGATGGTGGCAATGAGTTTTGAGCCACTTGCTGCAGTCGGCAGAAGTGTGTGTTGTCCAGAACTCTTCAGAGAAGCTTTACTGCCTCCCGTCGCAATATTTAACGGTGCCTTGTAGGCAGTGTGCAGGACAGGTTCATAAAGGTTAGAATAATCACTGCTGCAGACGTAAGAAGCAGCGAGTGTTACAGAAAGGGCAATAAATCTGTCAAAAGAAGCCAGCCGTAACACACGGGCTGGCTAGCCAGATTGTTTAACGATCGGCAGAACCATTCGCCCAAGAAAATATATAGGTAGAAAAATGGGGCACAAGCAAATCCTTGGTAAGAGAGGCTTTCTATTTGCTCTTGTGGATTTATAACTCTAGCGCTGTTTGGTGGGAATAGGTGAGGATGAGTGACTGGATATTGTGTGCGATGGGAGAGGGCATTCTCTTCATCCAAGGTCCCCTTGCCCTAAGCTCAGTTCATCACAATGTTTTACCTCTGAGCGAACGTGCTAGGACCACACTGCAAGGTTTGCGTAGTCCTGAAATCTGGCCACCTGCAACGTAAAACTCGGTGTAGGGCCCCATCTTTTTCCTTCCTCTTCAAAGGAATTGCCTCCTCTACAATCTGCAGCTGCCACTCCAGGACTGCAGACTTCACTTTGCCCTTGTCAAGCCAGTCTCCTGCTTCCTTGCCCTTTATTCATTTATCTGTTCGATTTATATCCTGCCTTTTTTCTTACAAAGAACTCAGAGCAGCTGACATCATTCTCCTCTGCTTGCTCTCATCTTCTCCCCAGAACAACAGCCCTGTGAGGTAGGTTGGGCTGAGAGTTTGTGACTGCCTCAGAGTCACCCACTTGGTTCCATGGCTGAGCGGGGACTAGATCTGGGATCTCCTGAGTCCCAGTCCTGCACTCTTAACCACTGCACCACACTAACTCTTTACTCTCTCTATTTGCAGAATGCTATTCCTAAGAGCAGGAATAAAAAAAAGACTGCAGGACAAGTAATTGCTTATGCCCCATTCCTCCTACACCCCCTATAGCTCCTATACCCTCTCACCCAGCCACTAAACTCAGCATGACCACCACACCGGCTCTCCTTAACAAATGCGACGTTTTAAAGGCATACGAAATCACTGCGCACCATAACTTGCCCCAAAGAGAGTTGACTCGTCTCCTCCATGGTTTGTTGACCTCACAGAACAAAATTGCAGAATTCTGCTCAATCGGACCAGGGTCTGCCAGCTCAGCCTTCCATTACACAGAGGCCGGCCAGTTGCCTGCAGGAAGCAAGCGGGTGTGGGTACTGCCCCCGATGCTGGAAGAGGCAAAAGACCGGTAACCACAGACCTGATGCCCACGGGAAGGGCACAAATCCGTTTGCTGGGAGAGCAAATCCATTTGTTGACGTGGGCCATTATTTGGCACTTCTGACATGGCCCAAGAGGCCCCTGTTCTGGACGGGGATTTTGGTGGGGCTAGAAAAGTGCTAAGATGCCTTCTCTCCCACACCACATCAGGGCCCTGATCGAGACTGGGGGACTCTGCACTTACACATGAGTAAAAAAGAACAGGAGATGTAGCAACTGGCTGCATTTCCAGGTAAAATCCTCGAACCCGTGCAGGTTTTGCAACACGGCTGAGTGCTGCAACAAGCAAGCATTGCTCTGGCATCAAGCTGCATCTCCAACCTCTCGCTGTGCCTCCGCATGCCGCTCCGATGCTGCATCTCTGCACCCAGCTATGCAAGGCCATAGCACAGAGCTCTTTGATCTTCACAGCCCCCCCCCCCGGGGGGGCCCTGCAGAAGGTCACGCATATGACCTGGCGGGGAGGGGGAGGGCTGAAGCCAACAGGCACTTGGGAATTCAGTGGCGGGGAGCTAGAAATGGTCACACAAGGACCTGCAATTTTGTGCTGCTCAAACCCATTATAAGGCTTTCTCAATAAGCTGCAGCTGCAAAAGAAACAAACCAGCTCAAACCCACTGGGTTGCTTACAGACTCAGCATTCTGAAGTGACATTAGCAAGGGCACTGAGTGGGTTTTAATAATGCCAAGAGTAATAAAAGAAAGAAGAGGGAGACCGTTTGTTAATGGGCTCAGATTGAAGCTTGCCTGTTCTTTTGGCTCGCAGCTTGAAACAGCCTGCGGAAGACCAAATTTGCTTTCATTCCTAGCCTACGCCAGAGTAAACCTGCATTCAGAGGTATAGCTCCTGGCAGCCGTGTTTCCGTCTGCAAAAGGCTGACCTGCTTTGGTGTGGAGGGGAGTTCCACAGGTGAAATATCAGGGTGCCCTGCCAACCAGGGTGAGTTGCATCAAGGCCTCGTGGCGTGGCCCCCCACGAACCTGCAGGGCCCACTTCCAGCATCTCAGCCTCAGCTGGGAAGTAGCTTCAGAAGGGCAGCAAAGCTGCATTTGCCGAAAACGCCGCTGCATGAAGACTGGCGTTGAGCACTACATCTCATATTATTGCACTGCGTTTATACCCCGCCTTTTGAGCTCTGCTGAGAAAGCTAAGCCTACAAAGCTCCATCTTATCCCCACAACAACAACCCTGTGAGGTAGGCTGGGCTGAGAGTCTAGTCACCCAGTCAGCTCCATGGCTGAGCGGGGACTAGAACCCAGTTCCCTTGGACCCCAGTAGTCTAACCATGTGCTCTATTCACAGCTGCTTCCCATGGCACCCATGTATGAAGCTGCTCTCTTCCCCAACCTTTCTGACTCAGCGGGCACATTTGCGAGGATTCATGGATGCTGCCGTGGGAGCAGGGCTTGCTCATTCGAAAAAGGCTGCCAGCGGGTCTCAAAACACCCCCACAAGGCACACTGACGAGTGCAAGGGAGAAGCAGCCACTCAAAAATCTAACTTCACGACAAAACACCAAACACTCTTTTGGGCCCATATAAAGACCCAAACATGAAGCATCATGCCAGCCTCCTGGTTTAAAAAACATAGTTACTTGCAATGGAAAGAAAAGAAAATCATGAACAGCACAGGGTAGGAACCAAACGGGAAGGTGCCGGTACAGAACTGTGCGTTTGTCTAGCCCACCGCTTTCTGCTCTGCTTGGAAACGGCTTTCCAAAGTCGTGGGGAAAGAGCCCCGCTCAGACTTCCTAAGGAAGAGCCTTCTAACGGGAAGTGCAGGGGGCTGGCCAGCGAGCCTTTGGCAGGTGAAGCAGGTGTTCTGGCACTGGGCAACAGGGCCCATGCTGCAAGCAAGACTCCCTAGTCCAGGCCACCCTGCAAGGCAGGAATGTGTGCCCCTGCAGAGGTTGCAAGGACTGCAACTCCCATCAGCCCTGGCCATCAACATCTGGTGTTTCCCCAGTCCGTTCCTGAAGCAGCTTGGCCTCCCTGGCGGTGTTTCTCCAACAAATCCACCAGGGAGTTTTCCAAACTGGGCTGCAACCTGTCCAGCAACCTGTTTCCTAAGTCCTCAGCTTCTTTTCTCCTTGGGTGCAATACGTGTTGAGGCGCAGGGGCCCACCCCGAGAGCCCCCAAGGCAAGTGCAAAAATGCCGGCAAACTGGGTGGATCCCTCTCCACACAGGTTCCAGCAGTGCTCGTTTGCACCCAGGTCTTCTGTAAGCAAAGGGATCTGCCCACTCAGGATCAAGGAATTCCAAGCCATTTTGCAGTGCAGCAGGGAGATACCCAGGTACTGCTGTGGGGGAATCCAGTTTCCTAGCTATACTGAGATTGCACCAAGCCAAAGGACAGGGAAATCAGAGGTGGAGCGTGAGTCTCCCTGCCCTCCAAAGGTCCCACTGCCTTGCCCCTGGAAGCCCTCTCTTCATTGCAGCTCAACTCTCCTCTTCTTATGCCACAGCGTTTTTAAAAAAGAGACTTTTTTAAATGCTTGCTTGTGCTACTGTGAAGCGCAGGGGTTTCACATGAAATCCAAGCTGACCAAATTTGGAGCTGGCAAAACGAGACAGAATGTTTTAGGCTTCTGAACATTCCTGTGGCATGTGCTTTTCTATTTATATCAGAGAACGATTTTTTTCTTTCTTTTTGCTTTTGCTAAGGAGCGAGCACATCTTGGAAGGAAGTGCATTTCTTTTGCAAGCCACCCCCTTTTTTAATCCATAAGCTTGTAATATTCACCATAAAACTATCAAACACCAATGCGGATGTGGACCATCCATAGCAGGGCTGAAAGTGCCTCAGGTTTCTTTTTCAAGGGGACATGAAAAGGATGACATGATGAAGGAGAAACTGTGTCGCACACATGCAATATACACACAGCACCCAAATCAAGAAGGCCTTTCTAGTGATGGCACCCCATCGCTGGTCCACATCAGAGGCGGTTGCCCGGCAACCAAATCACTACTGGAAGTAGCAGCAGTCATTCCATTTCTAGACTGCCTAATAGCCGAAGCTGTCTGGGCACTTTACAACAATTCACAGACAACAGATATAAGATTTAAAAAAACAGTATAAAATGCTTAATGTACAAGATCTGGAACAATCTGAAGAACTGAAAACCAATTTCAACAAAATAGTAGATCTCAGCTGGCAGAAATGCCTCATCACAGGGCATTAAATGACTGTGAGTACAGAGCAAACATAGTGGGTCTTGGTGGCGAGATCATACCACCAAGGCCATGATCAGGATATCACCACTGAGCATCACTTCCACTGCCCCTTCCTCTTTTGGAGGTGGCATTTGTAGGGAAACCACAGATGTTGACTGCAGTGTCCAGAAGGTTATGTAAGGCTTTATAGGTTAAAACACAGAAATAGAGCGAGTCAGAAGGACCCTCCCAGGCCATCTAGTCTGACCCCCAGTTCTAGCTGGCTCCGCTCATGACACGCCTACCATGTGTATGTCCAGCCTATTCTTAAGCACCCTTGCCGATGGGGCTTCAACCACCTCCCATGGAAGCCGATTCCATACCCTCGGGGTCCTAACTGTTAGGAAGTACTTCCTGGCGTCCAAATTGAACCTTGGTTCCTTGAGCTTGGCTCTGTTGGAGCATGTCCTGCCTTCCTCTGCAGGGGAAAACAGGTCTCTCCCCACCTTCATATGGCACCCCCTCACGTACGTATATGTCACCCACAGATCCCCTCGGAGTCTCCTCTTCTCCAGGCTGAAAAGACCCAGTGCCCTCAGTCTTGCCTTGAATCAGGTTCGAACCTTCCCTCAAACCTTGAATCAGGCTGGGAAACATGAGCACAGCCAGTGCAAGCAGGCCAGAATTGGTGTTCTATGCCGAGACCATCTAGTCCCCATTATTCATCAGGCTGCTGCATTTCGCACAAGCTGCTCCCCTCAAACAGTCTTCAAGGGAAGCCCCACATAGAGTGCATTGCAGGAATCTAACCTGGAGATTTCCAAAGCCTGATTTATGAAACCAAGTTAACCCTGCCTAGATGGAGGTGTAGCTGGGCCACCAGCCAAAACTGGCAGAAGGGACTTCCATGTCCCTGAGGCCACCCAAGCCTGAAGGGACAGAGATGGCTGCAGGAGAACCCCAAGCTACAAACTTGCTTCTTCCGGGGGAATGAAACCTCGTCTAGGACGGGTTGAGCACTCTCTGTCTGGTCAGAAGACCTAGCCACCAGCTGTGTCTGGGCTGAGCATCCATGTATTGGCCTCATCCAGTCCCCTGTCACTGCCAGGCACTGATTTAGTACACCTGCATATTAGGATCTTTTTGGTGCCAGGCTAAGAACAGCCCTGCCCTGGCACCCCCCACCTTCCAGGCATTTTAAGAATGCTTTCAGATCTTCCTCTTTTATTTTGCTGCTGATTTTTAACACGGCTTTATGGACAACCAAGTTTTATTTTATTTTCATAAAGGGGTGTTTCTAACCACATCTATTTCATGTTTTGAATTTACCTCCACAGTGTCTTTGCTCATTGGGCAGTCTGAAAGCAAGATCATTCTCACAATCAGTCTGTCAGTCATAAAAGAATTGTGCCTGCGTAGCCAAATGTCTTTCCACAACTCACTCTGAATCCACAAACCACTTTATCAGTGAGCGGGTTCACACAGAAGAACTCAGAAACTAGAACACTGAAACTCTGGTCAAAACCTGTACACTGAATGGTGCTTACCGGAAGCCACTGTAGAACCCAGCAAAGATTGATGCCATCCTATGCATGCTTACTCCGAAATAAAGCCCATTCAGTTCCATGGCACTGTCAGAGGAAATGTACCCAGGGCTGCAGCTGCAGATCTGAACAGACCTGCCAGCTGCCATCTAGGTCATAAACAGACGGGAATTGTGGCGCTTCTCCCTTTCAGCGGCTCAGACGGCTCTGACTGGAGTCCTGCAAACTACATGAGCATTTCCTGTAGTCCTCCACTCCTCTCTCCAGGGGGAGCAGGATAATGAAGTGGTTTGAGGTTGCATGGGCCACCAACTCCCATCGGTTGCCGGCATCTGGAACCCTTCCTTAAGAGTCTTTGGGGCAAAATCACAAAAAGGCAAGAGCCCAGCTTTGCCCACTGGTACAGGGACTCTGAGCAGACCTTACGACAGACACGGGGAACCTCTGCTCTGCAGGCCAGGTTTGCTCTGCCAGGTTGGCCTGTGCGTCTCCAGGTGATGCTGCTCCCTCTCCCCAAAGATGCTGCCCTCAGAAGAGAGTGGGCAAGACAACAGCCACTCAGTCCCTTTGGCTGATCTGTCACCTCCTGACATTGGGCTGAGTTGCCTTCGCTTTGCTCTTTCCACACATTCCCTGCGTGAGCAAGGCACAAAGCCAGTTCTCAGTGGGCTTCACTCTGCTGGCGAGGGAAAGCCAGGCAAAGGAGAGCAGGGTCCCCGTGAGCTGGAGTTGCTCCAGCTGGTTTGGCCAGGGACCTGATAATGCCTCGAGCTGCATCCCTGCCAGCAACACCCTCTGGTTCACATTCCAGACCTCAAACAGCTCCCAGCCCCTGCCTTAAAATTTGCCAGCTCGTCCTCCATCAAATCCACCTGCAATGATAAAAAAGAGGCTCAGATGTGGCAGCGGCAGCCACCAGGAGGAGGAAAGGCCACCTGCCCACGCCAATCCTGCACAGGGTCTTGGCTGCAGTGGGGGCTTGCTGTGTTGTATCTTGTCCACTGGGGACCAGCATTTCGATGCAAACAGGTAAGCAAGCAAGTGCACGCACATCTCCTCCTGGAGACATAAAGGTGCTGGGCGCATGGCCTACTGGAAAATACCTTTGCAGAGCTACACGAGAGCCCTGCTGGCCCGTCTCGTGCAGCATCCTGGCTTCCCACAGAGTCAACATTTCAGGCTGGTCTATCGGCTCAATAAATTAAAAAGGGGGCTGCGATCAAGGAATTAGAAGCCTGAGACTTGGAAGGGCAGCAATGAACTAGAAAAGTTCACCATGTGTAAGTATGTTTCACTGGAGAGCAAGGCCAAGATCATCCACACTATTGTATTCTTGATCATTGTGTAGACATGTGAAAGCTGGACAGTGCAGAAAGCAGGAGGAAATGGATGTGTTTGAAACGGAGTGCTGGAGGAGAGCTTTGCAAATATCCTGAATCGACAAAAAGTTGCATAAATGGAGTGAAGATCAGTTCACGCCAGACATTTCCCTGGAGGCAAAAGTGCCAAAACTGAAGCTGCCATACTTCAAGCACTTCATGAGGAGGCTTGGGGGGCTATTTAGGTAGGACAGGACATTCGGAGGGTACTCATTCACAGGGGTGCCATAAGTTGGAGAAGACTTGACTGCAACGAGTAACAACAGATGAATGGATGTAACACATCCGCGGCTGATGTCTGACTAAATGCCTCCAGGGCAACCACAAACAGGATATGCAAGCGAGTGGACAACTCGATTAAGCAAGACCACATCAGCCAGCCAACTGGCAAGACTCCAGAAGATGCCTGCATGCCCAGGTGGGTTGAGTCTGGGGATTCCTGGATCGACACCACAGAAGAACAGATCTCCCTCCTCAAAACACAATCCTACCTGTATTTCAAGGCTCATTAGCAAGTTATCTGCTCAAGGAGACACAAACGAGATTGAATGGGTCCTACAAACTCTTAAACAAGAGGTATGGAACCTCTTTCAACCCAATGGCTGAATGATTTCTGAGATGATCCTGGGGGCCTCAAACATCAGGAAACATCAACAGCTGACAGTTGGGGGAAGTCATATGCCTCTCTGGAGAACACGAGGCTAGATCTGGTCCAGACTTGAGATCTGATGTCACTCTGGCACTTGGGACGGACCATGGGAAGAGTACGTGCTTTCTATGCCAGGGCTCCATGATCAGTTTCCAGCACCCTCAGATAAAATAGCCGTGTGCAGTAGATGGGAAGGACCTCCAAGCCCACAGGGAGCTGTGTTAGTTGGAGTAAACAGCAAGGGCCAGACCGACTGAGCATCTAAGCCAGGAACACCACATGCTTGCTCTCAGATCCAGCTTAAATCAGATCCGGGTTTCCAACTGGCAGCACTTACCGTTCCTACTAATGGATACAGAAATCCCGCACCCACGCTGGCTCGGATATCCCTGATGGGCATGACGAAGCCTGTGGGCACTCCTTTGCGTTCTGGGTCATGAGACAACGACAGGTGTGTTTTTGCCATGCAGATAGGAAGGTTTCCAAATCCCTGGATAACGGAGGGAGACAAAGACCACAAAAGAACAGGACAGGTTACATCAGCGTGACAGCAAAGCATTATATCATTTCTTCCATTTACGACAGTTCGGCTCCTGGTTTAAACAGATCAGTTCTATCACCCATGCGCAGCTACTGGACTCTCTTCACCCACCTCACAGACATGCTTCTGTTTGCTTTTTTGTTAGGAGGATAAAATTATGAGCCTAACCCTATTAAGATGCCTGCAAGCTCCCAAACTTGGAGGCTGCTGCTTCTCCCATTGATTTATTTTGTCCCTTTAATGATAATATTTCTATATCACTCCACATCCGAGCAGAATTTGGAGCACTGAACAGTGTGAGGTTAAAACAAATCAAAGACAAAGCACAACACACAAAACATTTAAACATTAAATAACATTAAGACCATGGGTGGTGTGCAAGAAGCAGCTGCCCAGAATTATGATTATGATTATTAAAACATTTCTATGCCGCCCCTTGCCGAAGCCTCGGGGCGGCTTACAGCACAATAAAATACAAAAATAACAATATAAAATTAATAATATAAAATAAATAACAATGTAAAAGAAGTCACCCTGGCCAGATAAATAAGCAAATATTGTTAACAATTAAAATGATGTTTAAATAAGACTGTCTTCAGCAAGCACTAAAAACAGTGCAGTGTTGATGCTGCCCCGACCTTCTAAGGCAGGGAGTTCCTCAGAAATGGGGCCACCACACTGAAGGCTCTTCTCCTGGTCGACTCCAGTCAGGTCAGGGGTCTGTGTGGAACCACCAGGAGAATATCCTCCAATTGCCTCGGCAACTGGGCAAGCTGGTATGGGTTTTAATGTTTGTAAACCACCCAGAGAGCCCTCTGGGCTATTAGGGTGGTATATAAATGCAATCAATCCATCCATCCATACATACATACCATCTCTCAAGTAGTCCGGTCCCAAGTTGTTCAGAGATTGGTACGTTCATGCTAAAACATTAAACTGGTTCTGGTAGTGAACTGGTATCTGGTGGGGAAAGCAATACTGTACGTCCTTGCTAGTTCTCGCACCCTGACTTTTGCCCATCAGTATTTTGGAAGGAGAGGGAAAGAGGCCTGCACAGTTTTGGGATGCCTCATAGCCAGGCGCTGCAGTCTCTTCCTCCCCAACCCAGAGGCACCCTCTATAACCCGTCCCTGAGGTCTCTTTCCCACCTCCGAGAGCAGCTGGGGTGGTTCTTCCTGAACTGGGTGCAAGGGGGGGTGGGAAAGGGGCAGCGCTTTGATTCCTAGCTGAACTTGGCATGCAGTCTCCAACTTCGGAGTGCTGTCTCTGGGGGTACGAGAGGAACAAAGACCTTCTCTGGTCTCTGAGTGTACGAGTTAGGAACCACAGGATCAGCCCCTAAGAAGTCAGTTGTCCAGTGACCTCAGAAGTGCTTCCTAAGAAATATACTGCACTGCCACCACCGACCGAGGCCATCCAAAGAAACCCCACAGTTCTAGTCCCACCCTTGCCTTCCATTTCATTGTCTGTTACGCCCCACCTAGATCTGCTCTGTTGCCTCCCGTGCCCCCAAAAGCCGGCCGTTCCCAGCCTGCTGCCCACCAGCTGCACAATCCTCATCATCTCAAACAGGAGGAGGAAACCAATTCAGGGGCGGGGATCTGCCAGATATCCTCGGCTTGGCTCCCCAGACTCTGGCCCACTTTCTCTCCACCCCAAGCCCTGCCTTATTCTTAGCCTTCGCACACGATTCTGGCAGGAAGTGAGGCCGTGAGACTGGCTTTGCACACGCCACTGACACACCTGCTGTGAAGTGGGGTTCTATTGCTGCACATGTGATTTGTGGGCTTTGCCTCTTTTGCACAAAGAATTGTGCACTATGCATCCTTTGTGCAAGGAATTACACACTTGGTTCAAAAGAGCTGCTAGCATTCCTGGGCCCACTTGGAGACTTGATTCTAGCTCTGCTTGCTTCCCGGCCAGGGCAGTGCACACCTGCACCTGCAGACCGTATGTCCCGCCACATCAATCTCTGAGCAGTAATTCAAGACTAAGTTAGTTGCCCTTAGTTCCCATCAAAATTAGTGGAACAAGGATCAGGTCGGAATCGAGCTTGCTGGACTTCTCTCCCACCCTTGGCCTGGCCAGGAAGCAAGATGAGCTACGAGTAGATCAAGCCCATGAACGCTTGGGAACGCCAGCCGATTCTTCGTGCAAAGTACCCAATCCTTTGCCCTAGATACACCAAGTATGTATTTCTTTGTGCAAAGCACACAAACCTGCAAATCAGGTGTGTGGAAGTTGACTTGCTTCCTGACTTGCCCACGCAAAGACTCCGTGTGAGATGGACTCAGGTCAGAGAAGAAACGGGCTGGAGCCCAGGAACCAAGCTGAGGAAATCAGATGAATTCCCACTCCCAAACCAATTTCCCCTTACTGTATATCCCTACCCTGCAGTCGCCTCAGCCCCCTCCCCCCCCCATTCCAAGACATTGTTCTTAAAGGGAAGAAAACCGTTTTGTAGAGCAGAAGGAACATGGAGATGACTTTCACTTGGGCATTTCTGCCACCCTGCCCAGATTCCCCATAATCCTCTGAGGATGATGGGATCCCCGACTGGTTGGTGCCTTTTTCTGTGAACCTCTTGGCATGCGATGTGTTAGTGGGAAATGCATACAGGAACGAACTAGGATGATGACAATGCAAAAACGGTGCTTCTGAATCCAACCTTTACCACACTATGTGACCAGTCACCCACCTGGGCGGCCTGGCTTGTTTGAGTGGAAAACTACCCTCAAAAACTGCAGCAACAAGAGCGCATGAGAATCAGAGCCAAGTCTTGAATGTGCTGTTTTTACTACAAGAGGCGAACATGACTGTCCCAAAGGGAAGCTAAAAGACCACGAACACTGCTAAAAGTCTGAACTGTTTGTACCTTTGCAAGAATCCAATATGTGATCTGGGCATTAAAAAACAACACACAGTCCTTGGATTCCAGTAATTTGGAACACAAATGCCTACAGAGATTTTTAACTAGAATTTTGAGTGCTGTAACTTTAGGTTTTAGGGCTGCAGGGAGCGCACAGTGGAAATGCCAAATGTAATTTCAATGAGCAGTTGGGAAATTAAAAGGGAAAAAACATACAGGCCTTTGGCCAAGTGCAGCCTTCCCCAACCTGCCGGAGTCCAGATGTTTTGGACTTCAATTCTCATCAGCCCCAGGCAGCACCACCAATGGGGAGCTTTAGTCTAAAACATCCAGGAGGCAAATGGGGAAGGCTGGGTTAAGCAATGTCTACAAGGAAATAGGAAACGTGGTTCATACAGAGGCCTCTCTCTTGCTTATGTATAGAATATAGAAATATATGCACGAAGGACAAAAGGTTAACAACATTCTGCAGTCCAAGCTAGAAGTCAAGACAAGCTGAATGTCACTCCCTTTAAAAAACTGCATACTGAGCTCCTAAGCTCAGAAAAAGGAAGTAAGAACAAGCTGTAAATATCAGCATGGTATCAGAGATAAAGCAAGAATAAGCACGTGTGGCATGCCATAGTGATGGTGGAAGTCTATTTTTCCAAAGAAGGACACTTTTCCGGCCTGTTTTCTCTCTTAAGGCAGGGCTTAGATCATCTGCACCCAACTGAGCCCGAGTGCACATGCATTAGCAGGATTCCATTAGCCTCCCTCCATCCCTGAAAGGTAAGAGGCTGGCACTGCGAGGATATTCACAAGCATACCTGCTTGGTGTACAGGATAATTTTCTGCTCTGCTTCTGGCAGCAGCTCAATGTCATCAGCCCCATAAATAGTCTGTGCGATAATTCTGATCTTATTTAGAATTGGTTGCTGCATGAATGAGAAAGGAGAAAAAAAAAGAAAAGGAAAGTTAGACATTCGCTTCCAATCCCTTCCCTACCACCGTGGGATTCTGAATCAAGACACAATGGGCACTAGGAATGGGGAAAAGCACAGCGATTTCAAAACAATCACTTTTCCACCAGAAAATGTATTCTGTAATTTAATTAAATCAAGGAAAGGAGAGGATCACATCAGAGTGCGGAACGTCTTTCAGTCCAGAGGCCGAGTTCAATGCATGAGAAGCGCTCCAGGGATCATTCCAGTGTCGGGTAGAGCCAAAGGCAGAAATGGTGCCGTCAGAACACCAAATATACCAGCCTATTTTAGCTTAAAGAGGTGCCGTGGCACATGGGGCAGCGTGCAAATGTTTTAAGTAAATAAATAAAGCATTTATCATCAGTAAGAGGGCCTCAGAAGAGAGATTTCAACTTTAGGAATGGGGGGAAATTGCACATAAGCTGGGGAAGCCCAAGGTTTCCCACTCCTGGTTTACATGGTCTGTGCAGATTAACCCGTCCAGAGCAGGGGCAGAAGCTTCAAATCAAGAGCAATCTTCTTTAAGAAGGTTATAGGACTACTTAGGGGCTACCGCTTCAAAACTGCAAATATATTTGTTTTCCACAGTCAGTCATAACTCTGAAACAGAGACCACCCAAGGCCGTCTCACAACTGCCTTCCCTAACTCAGTGCCTTCCGGATGCATTGCATCATGAGACATGGGGATCATGGGAGTTGTACTGCAATGCATCTGGAAGGCACCATGTTGGAGAAAGCTCCTTGTGTCGGGCCTGATGCCCCGACAGAGACAGCACCTCACGAGGAGGTCTTGTGCTTGGGACCCTGTATCCAAAAGCCAACCCCGCAGCCTAGCTTGGGGGTGGCTGAGCAGATAGCTGCACCTCTCCCTGACTCCCTGCCCTTTGAGCAAACACCCGAGCCCACATCAAAGCAAGAGAGCCCCGAGGGTGTGAAAGACACCGCTAGTTCTACTCAGAAGGAGTCAGAGCGGGCTGTCCCTCCTCCCACTGACGCTGAACTTCCTGAACATGACACAGGAGACGCAGGGGGCATGATAGACTTTTCCCTAGCAACCAATCGGAGAATTCTGAGGAGGTACGACGCAGGCCTTGTTACGCCAGAGGAAGGAAAGGCGTGACCAGGAGAGCTAGTCCCACGTGGGCTGGGGAGAGGCACCACTAGAGGATTAACATCTGCATTCCAAAGACCTCAACAGAAGAGCTTATCTAGAGAGTTGTAAATCTGGTAGACAGGTAGCAATAAAGGACTTCAGTTCTATTGCTCGTGAACGTGTGGGTTGTTTACATGTTGAGCTGCACCTCCACACCTTTAGAGCCTGCCAGGGGTGGGCATGCAATTCTCGCGTGTATCCACCATGCACACTTTTGCACACACTCAAGAATATAGAACCATATGCAGAAGTCCCTTCGGCTTCTTAAAACCTTTGGGCAACTCAAGGAAATCTTGCTGAGGGTGTAGAAGGTTCTGGGTTCAAGCCCCAGTTTCTTCAGTTAAAGTAAGGTTTTAGGTAACCAATTGTCCTGCAGATTTTTTCGACCACAACCCCCATAATTCCCCACCGTTGGCCATGATGGAGGGGGATGATGGGATTTGTAGTGCAGAAGTTTGGGAAGGTTCCGACTTGCACATCCCTTAAGTAAAGGGTTGGCTAGCTTTCTGCCGGCAGCCCTAATGAACTGCTTTCCTCATAGGGCCAGCTCCCTGACGACATCACAGAAAACTGGAGTACACCAAGCGGCATCAGACTTATTCTAATCCAAATCACCCCAGTGAGGGTTGAGCTCTGGCCCCAGAATGCTGCCTGCTGGTGAAGGGTTGGGAGGACACAGGAAACTCAGGGAATTCTGGGAGACGACACAGCTGGAACCCAGAAGGGGAGCGCTATTTTGCTGCAGTTTCCACTCGCAGTCATCACAGATAAGTGGGTTGCATCCAGCAATCATTGAGAGTAGCACCACGAAAAAACTGTGGACTTGAGACAGTCATGCATAACTCAAGTCCCATTGATTTAAATGGTTCTCCTCTGCGCAAGGTAGTGCCTGGATCCAACCCATGCTTTTGTACTCTCCAGAGTACAATTTCCCAGAAGGAACCAAAATGCGGTTCAGCAGATGGGAGAAAATAAACCAACAGAAGAGAATTGAATGGCACAAGAACACTGCCGTCTCTAACAAGTTTAAGCATTTTTTCAGGTCGTTCATCATGAAAGCACACCTTTTAAAATTATATTATTTCCCATCGCTTTGAACATACCAATCAGATTCAGCCATTTGGAACACATGACTCTATATCTTCCCGAGGACATTAGAAAGTAATTTGATTATGTTGGCGACTCAAGGACGGCAGGAGTGATTCAATCTAGCCTGCGAGAAATCCAGCCCGTGTGTGTGCACCAGGTTCACAGAGTGCTGAAAGCAGAGCCTGACGGAATATTTCTATTCCAAGCCAGGATCATTCTGGGCCTGTAACTCTGCACCATGGGTCTGCCCAAGTTCTGCAACCAACATCCAGCTCCTGCCCCTATGTGCCCACTCAGATGTATCCAAGCAGCCCTCCAGCTCCTTAGTGGAGCCCTTAAGAGGGCTACCCGGGGCCTATACATTTGAAAATTAATACAATAAAATAAGCAAACTCCAAGCCATCCTGAGAACGGCTTTCTACACTTGGAAGCTCAAAATTGTAGTGGACGCTGATGGGAAAAGGGTCTTCTAGAGTGGGAAGCTTTTTTTCAGGATCAGAAGATCTTTTTAATCTTGCTATTAGCCAGATTTTAATCTGTTTTGTTGTACAGATCACCACATTAATCTGTAGAACATTCCCTAAATTCTGCATCAATTCTGTTTGTTCTTATGGCTCCTCCTTGCTCGCTTGCAATGTACAGTAGGAAGTTTGCTCTTTCCACACTTGCAAAAATTAATGGGATAGTGTCCCCCCCCATTACGCTTCCCATTGTGCATACACTTTTACACTGAAATCGTGTCACTTGACCCTACAAAGAACTTTCAAGGCTTCAGCAAACCGGACAGAGCGGGGTAGGTTCCATCGCAGCACCAGGATCACTGCCAAGCTGGCTATGGGCCCCTTTCCTCAAAATACATTCTTTGCACAGCAGCCCCATGACGGTCGCAGAAGGGACTGAGAATTCAAGACAGGCGCCGAGGCGACCCTCACCTCCACATTGTACAAGAACCTGAAGCTGCTCGGGGCCTGCGATGCTCTGCGCACGGCCTCTGCCAGCATCACGGCTCCTTTCCCGCCCTCTGCCCAGTGGGTGCACTTGACAGCATCGAACGCGCCTCCCGCCTTAGCCAGCCGGATGACCAGCTCGAGTTCTGCCTCCGTGTCAGATCTGCAAAGAGAGTGACGGAGTTATTGTGGGAAGCATTACGCCGTTAGTTGGCCATAGCCGAGATCCAAATAAACATCCAAGAACAAAATTCAGCATTTCCGCTTATACAACCCACCACTGAACTGCTATCTGCCCGGTTGGGAAGTCTTAATAATCTTTAGGAAGAACAGGGCTTCATTGGTGATTGCCCTGACAGTATGAAACCATTTCCCTGAAGTCCAGTAAGGTCCCTCTTCCCTGGCTTTTACTCAGAGCACGTCTTCTGAAGCAGACCACGGGCAGGATTTAGTATTTCATCTGACACTGATGTTGCAGCTATCACTTCAATTTGGGCATTTCTTCCGCTAGCATTTGGAGGGGACGCAATACTTTTCGTAAAGCCCAGGCCACAGGAGGCCAGCAACTACGGCTGGAACGCCTGGACCAGGAAGCACCTGCAAGGTGGAGTCCTGCAGAGGGTTCAAAGGGCCGGAGGCAAGAGGCACGCTTGTTTATCAGCCCAGAGCCAAAGCCCAGGGGGATGAGAGAGTCAAGCAAACCCACTGCAGGACTCCACAGTGCAAAAGCACAGTCCAAAGGCCTGTCTGAGAAAGCCGGGCATGTCCGAGGGCTAGGGGAGGTCAGGCAGGATGGGTGCAGGTCCCCAGGGCTTCCGGCCACACTGCCATCATCCCTCCTCGGCCGTTCCTGCAACGCCTGCAAAGGGGTTCCTGGTTCTGCAGGATCACTCAGGCTCTGATCTGACACAGCTGACAGATAAAATCACGAGTATTTAAAGGAGTGGCAAAGGCAGGACACAGGTGTGGCTGAGGCAGTCAGGACATGATCCTAAGCCTGTTGGACAGAAAAAAGGGGTGCATCTTCCAGCATGCCCAGGGGAGTTGCCGGAAGACAGATTTGTTTTGCCTGCATGTGCACAGGTTGGCTTCTTCAGCCTGCCTAGCTTTTAGGCACTGCACCATCAAAAGGCCCTTCAGTAAGCGCTCTTCCTCTCGCCTGGGAATGTTTGCTCTGAAGTGCTGACATGCACTCTTTGCAACAGGTTTTCCACGAGGTTTTGCTGTTCAGCTGCAATGGCGCTGTGGTTCGTACCAGCTTTCTACTGCCGATCCTACAATCAGTGTTTATGCAAGTAATCACCTTCCACTTCTTTAAGATTTCCAGAGCAATGCAATATCTGATTGGTAAGAGACAATTAAATGCAGCGTACCAATGAGATCAAAAGGCTCCACTGTTTTTCTGGATCCTGTTTACCCACTGTGTATGTAGAACAGGTAATTATCACTTATTCATCTGCTTTACTAAAAATAGTGGGGAGATCTGAAAGCAGTTCATCCAGAGAGGAATGGACTTAAGAGGGTACAGGCCTGGTGCTGAAAGAAATCACTTTCGCAATGGTTGAGACCCTGGAGCCCCCTCCCCAGGGGCTTGCCATCTCGTATACAAACCACACTCTCCACTTCACCGTGAACTATGTCATAGTCTAACATCTGCACTGCAGCCCATGTTAACCGTGCCTATCGTTAGTCAGAGTTTCAACTTTACAGCAGAAGTGGAGAACTTGTGGCCTTCCAGATGTTGTTGGACTACAGTACCCATCTCCCCAGCATGAAAAGCCAATTGTGAGAGATCATGGGAACTGCACTCAAAACAGTCTCTGGAGGACAAGTTACCCATTTCTGCTTTACAAACTCTGGTTAAAGCTAACCATGGTTAGCATTAGCTCTGACACAGGTGTCGCACCGCATCAGGGCTAGTCTCAAGAAGGGAAGGAGGAAGGTCAGAGTGTCTGTGCGCACACAGGGGGAATTGGCAGCCCATGCAGAGGCCTCGTATGGCACAGGTAATCATGGCCAAGCGTTCTGGGAATATTACGTCTGCATCAGAGTCTGAGGCTTGAATCCGTAGAGAGAACCAGGTATTTGGGGTGAGCGGGGAGAAATGCAAAAGATAAACCAGGAGGCATTCGTACTGGGAGCAGTGGGTTGCATTTTTACTCTGCAACTGCTCCCTTAAGCAGTGCCACACGTACTCTTCAAGGCATCACAGGTGCCTCCCTCAACGCTGCTAGGAAGCACGCAGAAGCGCTGCCTGATGGTGCGAGGCAGTCTGTTTCTGATTCAAGGTTAAAAACCAGGCGAGCGGCGAGAGAGCAAGCCGCTGCGCATCGCTCTCACGCACCGCTCTGCGCAGTCCAAGGCAATGTCAGGCGGCTGCGTCTTCCTTTTCTATGCTTAATTAAATGAAAACGTGCGGCTCACAGATGGCGAGGGAGGGGGAGGAGAGGCTCTGTCTGCTCCTGAACGGCAGGGCACGTGGATGGGGGCCACGTTTCGAGCGCCACCTACACAGCCACTGATGAGTGTGAGCCGAGCTTCTGATGGCTTACTTATTCTATTCCCTGTCGCAGTTCCATGCTGCCTGCTCCGCTAGGGAGCCCGAGGCTGTGTGCATGTCACTCCTCTGCCTTGCAATCTCATCTTCACAACGACCCGGTGAGGTAGGTTAGCCTCAGAGGCACCCAGTGAGCTTCAGAGCTGAACAGGGACTACCACCCCCATCTCTCAAGCCCCGGTCCAGCTCTCTAACCGCTTAAGACTTGCGTGGAGCACCCCCGCCCTGCCCTTCCATCAAAGTCTTGATGGCTGACAGGCCAACCCATCCTCAAGGGAGGACCAGTCATGAGCCTCTGATCCCCCCACCCAAATGCCTATTTTACAATATGAACTGCAATAATACTACTTAAGATTCGAATGGTGCGTTCAAGAGACCCCCCACGCTTCACATGCATTAACGAGCTGCATTCCTTACAGGTGTATAATATTCACCCTACTTTGACTTTTCCACACTTCGTTACGTCACAACCTGGGATTCAAATGGGTTGAACTGGAAGAGATTGGACTGGTATTGCCACCACTGCACGTATACAAGATACGTGAGGCAGTGAAGGTGCAAAATAATTCGATCGTTAAGTGAGCAAAAACAGGCTTGTTGGTTGCGTATTTCCCCCCTTTTGTTGCAACACGCCTAAAATAAGCTCTGGTGTTGAGTGTCTTGCGAGCATCAAGTGACAAAGGGGCCAATTAAATCAATTTCGGTTTATTGGGTTGCAGCCCAGTTAAGGTGGAGAAGTCACAGGGAGGGGGGCCAGATACCTGGGCAAGGCACTGAGATAAGTCTGTGTTAATTTCTCCAATATTACAGATGGGGAGGCTGAGTGAGGGAGTCTTGCCGAAGGCCCCCATGCAGAGCTTATGGCAGACTGAGGCGTCCTCATTTCTAGCTAAGTCTCTCACCTGCTATGCTACCCCAGCTCTCTGTAGAAGGACATAATTCTTTTCCTCTTTGGTCCCCTTGTAGCCATGGTGTGAAGAGACACTGTCCGAATTTTGCAGGAAGATGGAGGATTCGCAATCACGTGTTGCTTAAGCCCATATAGCAAGAGGACAGAACCTCAGCCTCAGGCCAAACTTGATCCACTTTGGGTCTCAATCTGGCTTCTGGAGGTTCCCTGGATGACCACAACTTCTTCCCCTGGACCACACCTTTCCCAGGAGAGTATTTGTAAATTTGTGTTGCTTTGCCCTCTCACCTTAGGATACTAAAACTTCGTTCTCCTGAAGGCCTTAGTCCTACTTACTTGAATGCATTGACGGCCACAACAACCGGGATGCCAAAGGTCCTGGCATTCTGAATTTGCTTCATCAAATTACTGCAGCCCTTCTCCAAAAGCAGGAGGTTCTGATTGAGAGAGAGAGAGAGAGAGAGAGACTGTTAGCTTTGGGTACAGGAAAATACTAGATGTTTCTCTGCTGTGTGAACAGAGCAAATGACAAACGACAACATTGGCACAAAAACAGAAGCCAAAATACAAATTAAAAAACTTTAATAATTGCATTGTAAGGGAACATCTTTTCAGAAATGTCATTTGCTTGTGCACAAGAAGAAGAAGACAAGATGAAAAAATACCTGACAGGAAAGACATGCTCAGTGCTGGAACAGATGCAATTAAAGAATTATCACTTTTCAGCACTGAAAAGTAGCTTCCATTCAAAGTGACAAAGAGAAAGGAGTCAAACACCCAGTATCTTCTCAAGAGAAGTGATGTGACACGGAGGAGGTGGGGAACTAAGTGAAAGCTCATTGTCTTCATGACACATACTTGGAATTGTTGCCAGCCATTAACACCCAATTTCTGCCGCAGCATATCTAAAGTTTCTGGGAATGGCATGCTTGGAACCTACGTCAGCCTGACACAGCTGCGGAGGATAAATGTATCAGAGATGATGCAATGCAGCATCTGTGAGAAAGAGCCGCATATTGGAAAATGCCGGGTCTGATCTCTCCTCTTTGCCTCAGCTTTTCCATTTGCAGCAAGGGAAAAACACGGAACTATGTCACTGGGCCACTTGATGGATCACCGAAGATCCGGACAGCCCCCTGAGAGGGATGGTTTGACCTGGAGTCCTGCATTGGGCAGGGGGCTGGACCTGATGGCCCTCTGGCCCCTTCCGACTCTTCCCTCCATGATTCTATTTACTGAAGCTTTCAAAGTCCCTGAAACTAGCCAAGAAGCACCTTATGGAGCTTATCACTAATAGAATAAACTGACTGTAAAAGCAGAAAACTCACATCCAGTGTGATAATTAATACAAAGCAACCCTCAGGCAGTGCTTTATTTTTCAGCAATTACACTCTGTGCTTCCATGAGCCTGGCAGAAAGATATGTACACATCAATTTGATCACCTATTTGTTTCAAATAATTTAGAAAGAATTATGCTAGCAGAGAGTTCATTCCTTATATCACAGTAAATTGTTTAATAATTTTATATTGCTTAATATAGCAAAAATAGGAAAAATTTCCACATTGAACCAGACTTTATCTTCCATTCTGTAATTCCAAGCAAACAAACAAACAAACAAACAAACAGAAAAAAGCAGGTTTGTGGTGAACCCTTAGGAGCTAGAATGGGCATTCCCAGCAGTGTTAAATTTTTATTTTATTTATGTATTATTTGATTTCTAGCCTGCCCTATTAGCCACACAGCTCCCTGGATGGATTACAAGCAACAAAATCATGTAACATTTAAAAAAACACTTTATTTTGAAGTGAAAGAACTCGTTGTAACAGGTCCCTAGGAAGGGATGTGTAGGAATTGTAAAGTCTATGCCACTGCCTGCTCACTGACAGTTTATACTTTGCAGAAACATGCACATACGCATTTGCACAAATGTGGAGTTGTGTGGATTTGCTCTTTCCAAAATGCGTAAATCTCTGAAAAATACACATATCTCTGTAAAACGCATAGCTTCATGCTTTAGCCTATGGGGAGAATACATGTTTTTTTAATTTTATATATTCTTCTATGACAAAACATGTATAAAATTATGCAAAAATTTAAATAAATGGTCCACAGAATCTGTGTGACTCCGGAAAAGCCAATCTACTGCATTCTACTTCATGGGTCAAATTCTCAGACTCACTTGAGTCTGTGATAGATTTCTTTGACTTAACTGCTCACGCCACTGTACTGCACACAACTAACATTTCTCTTCCCGGAGCTGTCATTCCATACTTTACAGCTGCTTCTACATCCCTTGCCCAATAACACTGTTTGCCTGATTAAGAAGGGGAAAACCTGTACCTGTGAAGTGTTGTATTTGGGCTCAAATAAAGCCCAGCACCAGCCTGGCCGTGAAGATAAAATGGAGCTTGCTTTGGCTTGCATTCCTTACCTGCTGCTCCCTGTGTGTGCCCGGGATTATGGCCTTCCACCCCAGGCCCATCCCCAACTTCACAACTGCTTCAACCACTTTTACCTAGTCTGACCATCACGGGAAACTGTGGTTTAATAAGCCATGGGAAAAGAATCAATAAGAGATAGATGGTCTCCACCAAGGTAAGTCACAGACGTTAAAGCAGCTAAGTAGGGATGCCATGGAGAGATGACTTGATGGCACATGAACAACACCAAAGAACCCATGCTGGGTGCGTGAGGGGAGGGGAGGGGAGGGGTCCACGGGCATACAGCTCATTCTTGGGCCAATCAGCCACGACTGACCAGTCCCGGAACAAGATGCCTGAATGGGGGGTCTTGCAGTCCTGCTCCAAAATAGTCCCTCTTTCTTCCTTAAAAATGAGGAAGGGAGACACAGAGTTCCTGGCCAGCAGCAGCAGAGTATCTGCATATAAACTCTATTAAAGAACGTGGCGCCTGCTAAATGCTGAGGCCATGTCATGTTTTCTTCCGACAGGCAGATGTTCAACAGGCTTACTTCATCTGATCACAGAGCCACAGCAAGACAAAAGTAACACAGCCAAGAACTCTTGGCTATTGCTCAGGCTCACAGAAGCACCGTTAGGAAATCAGGAAGCGAGGAACTGGGCCGCTGAGCCATAATTACCTCTTCGGTGTATTCTCTTGGCAAAGGAACGCCAGCTGTGACCTGCGAAGAGTAAGCGCAGAGATTAAATCTGGGCAGCAACATTCCCTTTGTACCCCGAGTAACATTTCAGCAACGGATGCTCATTGGCAGGTCTTTATGGTGTTGTGAGAGTGGTGGAATTCCTTTGCAACAGAAAGAGGCCGACCTTTTGGACCCATGGGCATGTGTGTCCATTTGAGAAAATGTCCTGGAGGGTGGGCAAGTCACAAAGGCCAAGCAACTTTCCCCAAAGACTGAGTACAAGGCAGAATCTGAGCACCTCTACATGAAAACAACAAAAACCCGTTTCACAGACAGCAAGATTCTCCTCTTCCCTCCACTATCTCTGCCTGCCTGCCAGCCAACCCACCCACCCACCCATTTATATTTCTATTCCACCTTTTCTCCCCTAGTGGAACTCCAGGTGGCTACATGCAGGCTCCTGGTGGTCTCCCCTCCAAGCTCAGGCCAGGCCCGGGCTTGCTTAGCTTTATCCTTGCCACAATTCTTTCCCAACCAACCTCCCCAGGTCGCCCCTTACTGGATCTTTCAGCCCAGGCTGCTGTCCTGCTCTTCCTCCAGGTCCCCAGTAGATTCCTGGACAGAAACACACCCTTGCTGGCGCTCGCGTGCCCTGCCTGGCCAATCCCAGCATTCCTTGCAGAAGTGACCCAGGACCCCTTTCCTTGCTGGCTCTGTGCTCTGCTGAAGCAAGCCTTGGTCTGTTGCCACCTGCCATCCCCATTTGCAAGGAGCATCCCAGCAGCCCAGGGACGCTCATGGCAGATGAAGGCAGCAGACGACGGGACAGAACAGAAGAGTGGTAGAGTTGGAAGGGGCCTCCATGGCCATGGGGTACGACCCACCACTTCGCTTCTGTTCAGGCCCAGGCCTTTCCAGCTTAGCAAGGGGGACCTGGCATGCTAGCTTGCTGGAGAGCTCTGCAAGCAGGCACCCCCCCCCCCCCCATTTGCAAATGATCCCAGTGGCTGGCTGGAAAAATGTCAATTAAGAAGGGAGGACAGGCACGGAAAGCAGGTTCATGGGTAGACCATTGCCTATGGCTGCTTTACAAGGACATGGCAGAGGTCATGAATTTTAGCCCAGCTGCATGCGTGTGAGTGCGGCGTCTGCGTGCATCCATGCACTCCAGAACGTGGCACTCATTACCCTAATGAAGCAAGCGGCAATCATTTGCTTGTGATGAATCTGCAAAGAATTCTTTACATCCTCCAAGGTCTGGAGACCAGGGAAGAGATACACCAGACTGCCAGCAGCATACAAAGGAGCTCATTAGCAAAAGATCAGCAAGCAGGGCAGGGAAATGCGTAGGAGACTCCCCCCCCCCCCGCGCCGGCTCGGCTGATTTATGGGGAGGGGCAGAGGACCCTCCTGGAAACCCAGATCAGGCAGGGCTCAAGATCACAGCATCTCTGCAGCTGAACATGCTTACAAAGCCCTTAAAGCTGTCCAGGCACGGACACTGGGGGAGGGGCTTATGCGTGTGCCCCCCCCCCACTTTGATTCTGCATGCGAGAAAGTAAAAAGGAGGGTGTATCCCAAGGAAGATCAGAAAAGAGAGTCCCCTTTGCCTAATGTACCTTCCCAATAATATTAAGGGAAGCTGGGAATAAAAATAGAGAAACCTTTAGGGATTCAAAAATAAAGGAAAGAGGATGGGATGGGATGGAACTCCAGGCAAAAAAGGGAAGGGAAAAGGAGTCTGCAGTTTAAGCAGAGACTTGAATGGAACCAAGAGCCATGCGACAAGCTGCCCCATTAGTCTGTAAAGCTACCATTTCCATCCGTTAAGGACAGGTGGGAAAGAAACCCTCTCTCAAGGATGCTAAATGGACACATCTGGCCTGCAGAAGCCGCTGCTAACTGGACCATTTCCTGCAACACCCTTTCACGTTCTGGCTCGGACCTGTGCAGGCCCCTGTTGCTCAAGCCGACACTCACCGTGGGGCCCCCGCCATGCATCTTCAATGCTCGGACAGTGGCAACCAACACCACCACGTGGGGCTGCAGGCCAGAATACCGACACTTGATGTCAAAGAACTTCTCCATGCCGATATCAGCCCCAAAGCCGGCTTCCGTCACTGTGGGCAGAAGAGAGAGGGAAACTCATGATTATGGACCATTCCCCTCCTTTTGCACACAGTGGTATTATTACTGTTCTTAGTCCAATGCACTCCATCTGTTTACTTGAGGATTCAGGAGAATTTACACTGTAAATTCAAAAAAGCCAAACTATTGCCACAGCTAAGGGTGTCTGCAAGTCTCGCTCAGGCATCCAGTGAACAGCTGGAGAAACCACTCTGCATGTTCCCTAGAGGGGTTTTTTCACCCATCCAGCTGGGGCAGGGAAGGAAAAGAGGCAGATGGTGCTTCAGGACCACTTGTATCCTGGCCACGCCAGTCCCTTGCCTGCTGAAGTGCCCCCTTGGGCCCCTCTCCGTGATCACGTTCCTAAGAAGAACTGGAGCTTCAGTCCCCAGTTCAGAGACTGGAGCACTTTCTCCGGCCCTGGAGCTCCAGCTACGGGCTCTGAGGCTGGAGGGCTTGGAGCTGGGAACCCAAGCTGTCCTATGGCGCTTCAGACAATGTCTTTGTTGTTGTTGTTCTGTATCATCAAGTCATCTCTGACTTATGGTGACCCCATGAATGAAAGCTCTCCAAAATGTCCGGTCCTAGACAACAACTAGGAGCTCAGGAACCATTCCCTAAGGGGGGCTACCCACGTTTTCGTTATGTCAGCGGATTAGTCAGAGTTGAGGGAAGTGAATTGTTTGTATTGCAGCATATAATAGAAATCCAGAAATTTATGTCAGTCAGGTAGATCCCAAGCCAATGCGGGTGCTGTTTCATCCTCACAAAAAACAGCTGTCCAAAACCAGACCCTACATGTGTTTCCCTTTCCCTGTATAACCCTGCTAAGAGAGGACAGCCCAAACGGCTACACAGATGCACTTTTCACTGTGGAATTTACACACAAGAAGACCTACAACAATGTCTTCTCATGACGACCTCTTACCACTTACTGCTTTCCTTCTGCAAACAAACAACAAACATCTGGATGTGGGGCACTCCAGATTTTGTGGGGTAAAATCACTCAATTTCTGCCACTGTGGTATTATTATGTTATTAAAACCAGGCAACATTCCTGGGGTATAAAAATTGCCCAGTGATTTACCAAAAAAAAAAAAAAAAAACTGGTGCAGAGAAAGAAGCTGTTTAGGCAGTCAAAAAAGAAGATAAAAAGGGGGAAGAAGGAAAAAAAAAGAAAGAAGAAAAAAGACCAGCAACATGGCTGGCTGGGGTGTGTTGGGAGCTGTAGGCCTTTTTCTTAAGGACAGCATCCTTAAGTGCTTCTTGGTGTCAACTGAATGGCCCAAGGACATTTCATTGGGGAACATTTAGCTTACTAGAGACAATACCACAAAGTGTCCTGGGTTAGAAAAATGCACCACAACACCTAAACATGCTATTTTTTAGGGAAAATAAAGCTTTGCATGCCAGTTTGTGAGACTTCTGAGTTTCTGACATTCTTCTGACACCACAGGCAAATTACTGATTGTGAGGCATTTTAGGACCTTGGGATACGTCGCAAAACATCTTGTAGCCATAAAATCCATGCACAAACTCATCTGCATATAGCTTTTATGACTGCTGGGTGAGTTTTTTAAGCTCGGCGCTTCCAGTGCATCCCATCGGGTAATCACACATGCAGACAGTAGTCAGAAAAAGACTTACCAACAAATCCTTCTCTGCCAACGAGTTTCAGAGCTATTTTGTCTGCCAGGACAGATGAGTTGCCATGAGCAATGTTGGCAAACGGGCCGGCATGGACAAACACGGGATTGCCCTAACAGAGAAAGACAGCAGGAGGACAAGATAGCCGTAAGGAGAGATTCGCTGGTGCCTTCCCATCTGGAACACTGCAAGTTTGCACACACCTGTATTTGTGACGACGTTCTGCAAAACTCAGTGATACATATGCATGAAAGCATGCACAGAGGGCTGTAAAGTCCTGAAGATTACCAGAAAAGCATTTCCAGTAAAATGACCCGATATGATCAGTATTAAAAGTGAACATTCAGCAGAACCAAAAAACTGCTAGAAGGTCAGCCTGCTAGTCCTCTTGAGCACTCTTGATCAGAGTAGGACTACCGAACTTTCTGACTTGGCTTGCACAGCACAACAAGCCACCATTGGTAACCAACCATGATGGGTTACTGTAATACCGAAACCTGGCGTGGTTTCAGCAGGGTGACCTATTTTTTGCAGACAGGCCATCATTGGCTTGTTCTAGAGGTTGTTCTGCTCACAAGGATCCAAACCCAGCAGGGCAATTTCATTGTGGATTCCTGGGAATGGCTCTGGAGCCACTACGCCAAAACTAACAAACCAGCCTGCTGCTCAGAGTCCTGATCTCACCAATGACCACCCTACAATGGATGCCAAAGTTTTTTTTAAATGCAAAGGCTCAAAAAGGGACAAGTGGAGCCATGTGCTTTCTTTTGGCCCAAGAAAATTGCACACTTTAAATATTAAATATATTTTGTGGGTCCTTCATAAATGTGCAAATAAACTTGTGATTACAGGGCAAGACTGTATATAGGCTAATTTGCACACAGTTGCCAGGGTCATGCGCCTACCTTTCAACAGCAATATTACCTTCCGAAGATGTGGCCCTTCCACTCTTAAATGCACCTTTTCAACACTGCCCTTGACCCTCTGGCCATCCAAAAAGAGGAGTCTGCAGCACCCCCCCCCCCACTTTTCTTGTCTCCTTTTCAGTGCACTTACAGCTACAGTCACACCAAAATACACATTTTTGAGACTGGAAAATGTATGCAAATGTAAGGACTGGGAAAGAAACAGTGGGGAAATATATGCAAATTTAAAGTCAAGAAACTAAATGAAGGGGAACGTTGCCAATTTCAGGATTGGAACAGAAACGGAGAGGAAACTGCAGCAACTGCTCCAAAAGGTAGGGAAGAAGAGTTAGTACCACTCCTTTCTGGAGTAGCCGCAGACTCTAAGGAAGTGCTGAAAAGGTAAGAGACTCTGCAAAGTATCATTTCAACACTTAAAGGTTAGCAACAAATCCTTCCTAAAAGCTAGAAGGGGTTCAAAGGAGGGCAACAAGGATGATTCAGGGACTGGAGGCAAAGCCCTATCAGGAGAGATTGAAAGAACTGAAGAACTGAGGGGTGACATGATCGCCTCGACAAGTACCCAAAAGGCTGTCACAAAGAGGAAGGACAAGACCTCTTCTCAATCATCCCAAAGGGCAGGACATGGAGTAACAGACAAGTGAAAAGAATCCAGATTTAGACTAGACTCCAGAAAGAATTTCCTGACTGTCAGAGCAGTATGACAATGGAACCTGTTACCTGGGGAAGCGGTGGGCTCTCCCACCCTGGGGACATTCAGAAAGATTCCACACAGTCATCTGAGAACCCTGCAACAGCAGGGGGTAAGACCCAACGGCCTTCTGGCCCCTTCCAACTCTCCTATCCTATGATTCCTTGCTGATGAGTTTCAGAGCTATTTTGTCTGAGTTGCCACGAGCAATGTTGGCAAATGGACCGACATTTTCTAGAGGGCTGCGCTGCTGAGGAGACGTTCGTTTCTGCCTTTTGGTGCATTTGAACGCAGGCTACGTTGGAAAAATTAGCCTGTTGCTGTCTCCTCTGGTGCTCCCATTGATAACTGAAGCAGACAAAGACATTGACCAGGCAAAAACATACAGACGGGATAATGTAAGTGCACAGTTGTGTGCCAGAGAAGTACGGACCAAAAGCAAATACATAAATAAAATAAAACATGCAATTTTCATAGGCCAAAACCTGCAAAATATGCACTTTTTAAAAGCTTCATAAACAAAGATGGGTACACATTTGAGTCAGGAGAAGGAGACGAATCAGTCCTGTTGGATCCAGAGGACAAACAAGGTAAGGAGCAGTGGGAAAAGAAAGGCAGGAAAATAGAATTGAGCAGTGGATTGCATGGGATACGAAATGCTGTTTTTAAAAAGGCAACGCCTGAAAATGATTGCAGAGGCACAACTGCTGTTTATACTGTTTACATAAAAATTATACTGCTTCTGATTAGTAAACTGCAACTCTTACATTTTTGGTTGCCTGTTTTAGCGGACCTAAATGATGGTGTAAGATCAGGGGAAAGCGAACCCTTCTGCCAGGAAGTAAGTGCCATAAAACAGACCATATTTTGGTTGATGTTCCACTTTCCCATCAAAAGCATCAGAGCTGCATCGCTTATGCACTTACCTCCAAAGTCTGCATGAGATTTGGCTTAATCGCATCTTTCATCAACACCGCCAGGGCGCCACTCACTCCCTCAAGGAATAAGAATATAAAGAATTACTCGAGTGGCAATTCTTATTCATTTCTTCAGGTTTATGACATTTCAGGAGCTGTGAAGCTAACAGCTGGCCTACTTTCTCTATGCTTGATGTACAATCTGCCAGCCTTTGTCTAGAAACAGGATGCAAAAGGGCAAACGCAGCTGGATACGCCTTGCTCACATTCGCAGACCTGTTCGCTCCATGGTTTTGTTTTCTTCCAAACTGTACTGCCAAAAACTCTAGGCAGACCCATTCCAATCATGTTTGTCCTGCTGTTTTATTTTCTTTGCTACAAGCATCATGAAATTCAGAAAGTTTATATTTCCCAGAGGTGAAGAAATCACAATTGCGCAATATAAAAAGCTATCATTTTTTAAAAATATGCAATATAACATCTGCAGTGTGGATGAATAGAAGATCTCAGCAGTTATTTTCATGACTGGAAAAACAGCAAGGATGCTTTTGGATAATTCAAGTAGCTACAGCGACTCTTGTGTGTGTGGGTCTCCGTCCACCTGCCCCCCATGCATTGTACTACATTTAACTTCCTCCCCAGACAGCATGGGAATTGTAGTCCAACCACTAGGTTGGAGGAAACTGACATTTATGATATTAGATTCAATTGCAGCCAAAATGCATGGCAAAATCTATGGTGGTACCTGCTCTCAGAATTAAGCCCTCGCTCACCCCATCCATAAGGCAAGCAGTGACCTGTAGCTTTCCTCACTTCCAGGCCGGATATCCATCATCTGTCACTTGCAGAGAGCTGACTGGGCCCCTGAATGCTATAAGCCACCATTTTAAGCTGCCCACAAGGCCCCAGAGTATCCCATGCAGTCTTAGTGCTTCGGGGCCTGGGGGGAATTTAAAATGGCAGCCATTCACTTCCCCTTGCTGGGGATGAGCACTGTCAGGAAACAGGGGCCACTGAGGGATCAAACTCAGGCAGGCTTTGCTTACTCCTTCCAGATGGAATAGTTCTAACCTCCACAGCCGTGTCCAACATCAAGGCCTTGCAGAAAAGGCTTGTTGCCATGACACCCCATCTCTCTCTCTCTCTCTCTCCCTCTCCATCCATCCATCCATCCATCCATACATCCATCCAACTTATATGCCGCCCCCTTCGCATAAGCCTCGGGGCAGCTTCCAATCATACATAAATTCCATCATACAAATGCATAAAATGGTGGAGACATCCTGGCGAAATTTTAAAATCAATAAAATCAATAAATAACATTAACAATTAAAATAACGTTTAAATAAAAAGGTCTTGGCCTGGCACCGAAAAGCAAATAACAACGGCGCCAGGCGGACCTCTCTAGGGAGCGCGTTCCATAAGTTGGGCACCACCGCAGAGAAAGCCCTCCTCTGGGTACTCACCCTCCTAATATCTTTCATGGAGGGTTCCTGGAGAAGGGCCTCTGCCACCGATCTCAAGGGGCGGAAGGGCATATATGGATGCAAGCGCTCCTTCAGGTAACCAGGTCCCAAGCCGTTCAGGGCTTTGTAGGTGATAACCAGCACCTTGAATTGGGCCCGGACTTCAATGGGGAGCCAGTGGAGCTGATGGAGGACTGGGGTCATGTGAACATAACGCCCAGTCCCCGTCAGCAACCTGGCAGCAATATTTTGCACCATCTGAAGTATCCGGACCGTCTTCTAGGGCAGCCCCACGTAGAGTGCGTTACACCCTAGCTTCTACAATGACGACAGCTTGGACCCCCCCACTCCAGGGAATATCTGAATGAGGAGGGGGAACTGGATAATGTATCCTGGCACCAAACTGTGTGGGTTCATGAGCTCTACAACCCAGATTCCGGGGAATTTAATGGGAAATGAAGACCACTGATTGCAAGGGAACTGGTATCTGTCACCTTCCCTCAACTGTATGCACTCCAGATGTGCTGGGCCACCACTTCCAGCATTCCCAAGCAGCTGGCTGGGCATGAGGGGATTGTAGCTCAACATCTGGAAGATACCAGATTGTGCAAGTCTGGCTTAAGTGGATGGGCTTGTTTATTTATTTCATTTATAACCCACCATCTTTCATCTTACAAGGAACTCAAGGCAGCCTCTATGGTCCTTCTCTCCATTTTATCCTCACAGGTAACCACCTTGGGAGGTATATTAGGCTGAGAACTGGTCACTGGCCCAGAGGTATTCCTGGCCAAGAGGCAACTGGAATTCAGATTGCCTAAATGCCAGTCCAGCACTTTAACAACTGCCATGCTGGATCAGAACTGGAGGTTCCTGGAGCCGTCCCCTTCCTAGTTTCACCCAGACTTTTCCCTGAGCGACACTGTGGTCAACATACCAGGTCTTCTGTAGTAATCGGAACGCCGTGCTTACTGGAGGCAACAACCATTCTCCCCAGACGCTGCCTCATGTTCTCCAGACTGTCCGTGAGCGCCAAGACAGCCATGATCTCACTGGCTACCGTGATGTCGAACTGGGTCTTGGGAAGTGCAGGAAAAGAACCAGAAGGATCACAATTAAGTTCCTTTACATGCAATTGAAACACCTGGTTTTAACAAGAAGACAAACATGGCGGGCACAACACCCAAGAATAGGAACTCGACAGCAGGGGTGCACCACCTCATCTCTGGGGCCAGATCTAGCCTGTTTGGGGGCTTATGCCAGCTCATGGGGATTCGAAAGAGCACCTTGCTCCCCGAGTCACATGCCCTTTCCCGCTCTCACTAACCATGCAATGGCTTTATTGCTTCTGTGCAATTTCACCCCAGCACCAGTGCCCCCCCTCAGCTGAAGCGCATGAAACCAACGGCTTTAAGCTACAATATGCTGCCATTTCTGGCTCCACCCCTTTCCCCATTGGCCCTGCCCCCTTGGCCTCCAGCTCTGCCCACTATTGGAATGCAGCCCCCGAGAACTTCTCTCTCATGGAATTCGGCCCTTGGACTGAAAGGTTCCACATCCATGCTGTACAGGAAGGGGGCTATATTCTCCTGGAGGTTGAAGAGTCACATGAAGTATGCATTTCAAAGAGGCACTCTCTTCCACAAAAGAACTGAGGGTGGGCATTTCATCTCCTGACTCCCCAGTCTATTTTTAAGTGCATCTCCAAGAGCACATGGGGCAATCCAGAAATCCCACACCTGCCAACTTTAGAGCTGCAGAGGCAAGGACGTGATAGTTTAAATGGCTGCCTGCTTTGCTAAAAAGGCCAAATGATCCCTTTTATGGAAAGAGAAAGGATACTTACTGTGCGTGAGAACCCCTTCTCAGTCAGAGACTGTCCGATTGTGACTTTTCGCAGGAATCTGTCATTTGTGTCCAACACTGCATAAAAAAGGACGACGGGAGGGGGGCAGAAAATGGGCTATTAGGGAGGTGAAAAATGAGCTTGGCTTTTTGAATGCATGTGTATCCGAAGCTGTTTTATGCCTCGAGATTAGCTCACAACACAGAAGGGGTCGTTAGAAAACAGGCCGCAAGGAGTGAAACACCATAAAGACAGCTAGCGGTGCGTTTCTCATATGAACAAAGTTTTGAAGAATGAGGGGCAATGGGCAAATTTGCTAAGGGACTGGGGGGATTGACTTTCTTTCACAGAGGAAACCCCCACTTATATGCAAAACACAAAACAAGATGGACAAGCTCCATGCCGTGGCACGTGCAGCCCCCTAAAGAGGAACCCCGCCACCCCCACCCAGGCCCGTTGCAGTGGGCGTAGCAAAAAACACCCTGGCAAAATTTAGCAGCAAAGTACTATTGAGACACTGCATGAAGCTAAATTTGTCCCCTTTGGCTCTCCGTAGCATCAGTGGCTTGCTGCTAATTTGGCCTTGGACTGGCTTGAGTAGGGAAGACTTGCGTTCAAATCCCTGCCAAGTCTTGAAGCTTACGAGACACCTTCCACCTGGACCCTCTCTGCCTTAAATGATGTATGTGTAGAATGCAACGATGTACGAATGCAACACAGAAGGAAAGAGGAAACGATTCCAAATGAGCCAGGACCAGGTCAGGACTGAGGTCATCCGATGAAACAATTTGGAAGCTCAATCCAAGACAGACACAAACAAGCGTTTCTGGACACAGTCTGTGCAGCTCGCGGGCATAAGAAGTGCTGACGGCCAGGACCTTTGGCGGCTTTACAAAGGGGATTAGACAAATACATGGAGGATCGGCCTGTCGGTGGCGACACGGAATCTCCAGAAGTGGCACGTCTGTGAATGTTACTGCTAAAACATCCAAAGTTTCTTAAGAGCTGCGCCCTGGTAAAAGACAGGGGAGTTCCCACTTGCAGCCTTGTGATAGAAGAGAGACAGCACAAAAGGAAAAGCCACGAGGAGAGGGAACGCATGCAAATTTAGGCACCAGTTCTTGAAGTCACACCTCTGACCTGGATGAGTGGGCCATATGACCTTCAGGGACACCACTCACAACCCAACGGTCCTGAGTGTTGCTGGGGAGCCGCAGCAGGGGAAGAACTATTGTCTTCCATGCCCCTTTTGTGGTCTTCCCAAAGGAAACAAGCGGGTTCTTCCAGGAAAGAGGGAACTAGACAAGATGGACCCTTTGTCCGGATTCTTTTCTAATCTAAGTGGCATCTGAAGATACCGCGAAGCAAGGAAATGGTCCTCTTTTGCCATCAGTGATGGATTTAGAGTTGCTTTATACTCTTATTCAAGTAGGGATTTCTCCAGGGAGGAGGAAAAGGGAGAAAGCAGGGAGGGAGGGGAGGAAGGAAGAAAGCATCAGCTATACTTGGTTAAATAATTTTGATACAAAATATAAGTACCTTAGCCATTGAATAGGTGGCTGAACTCAAGATTTCAAAGGGTATCATAGGATAAAATAAATTGAATTCTCATTAGCATGCCAAGAGCCAGACTTCTAATAATACATTTCACAGCTCATTTGGTAGGAAATGCTTTTTTATACATTCCTCTCAAAGGCAAGCAGAGAAAAAGAGGTGGCGGTAGGGGGAAAAGGAATGAGATAAGACCCCTTTTTGCTTTATGGGTAGGTTCAATCATTCTGCAAAACAGCAAAAAGACAAAACTGAGGCCATGCGTGAGAAGAATGGATGGTGGTTGTCAGCAGGATTTTGACTAATGGGGCAACACTCGCAAAACACTCCTTCCCCAAACTGCCTAGGTTTTGGTGCCTGCATCACCCCTACCAGGACTCACTCACTTTCTGATAAATTTATCTGCCACTTTGCAGTTTACTTTCCTGCCAAACAGCACAAATTACTTCTTCAGCTACTGCTCCATTAATAGCAATTGGCATAAACAAGATCAGCATGACGAGAGCTGAATTACATAACAAAACAAATACAATAAAACCAATCATAAAATATATGAAAAAATTAAAGTTGCAACAACGATTCAAATAATTTAGGATGCTATCCTATGGCTGCCAGGTAGAGTCTACCCAGCCACAGGAAAAGCTGGCATTCTAGCCCTGACCTTGGAAATGAGCTCTGCTGTCGGAGCTGGAATTGTGATTTGTCCGAGCAGCTGACATAATTCTTTCTGCTCTGACTATGGCTCCGAAGTCTGATGTCTGACCTCGGAGCTGCGCTCTGTGGACATTCCAGGAGCAGAGAAAGGAAGGATCCTGGCAGCACCTCAACCTGTCCTCATGCACCAGTGGAAAAGGCTTGGAGAGTGGAAGTCACCAAAATCTTTTGCAAGGTGAGCAAAATGTGGACGCGTCCTTTGCTCCATGCTCCTCCTGCCTTCCACTGGGTGCCTGCAATCCTCCACGTTCAGAGGATTATGGGTGGCTGTTAAAAAGAAACAGCTATCCAAAGGTCTAAAACATGGGAAAGGGTGATTTTAAAATGCAACCTTAAACGTTTCGTTAAAAGGAAAACAAGCAGCAGTTTTAAAAGTTCTGGGAGAATAAAGCGATCTTCGCTTAGTGTCAAAAAGTCAATGGAGTGGGTGCCAGGCAGGCCTTTCAGTGGGGGGCATTCCATAATCTGGCAGCCCCAAGAAAAAAGGTCCACTAATGAGTAGCCACAAGCAACCGGTGGCTGAGAGCAAAAGCTGCACGAGGTAGCAGCCACAGACAGCCTTCTCCTCCAACACTTTGTACATCTTGCAGTGGAGGATTCTGGATTTTCATTCTGAATTAAAACAGGTCTTAAAACATTGGGTAAAAAAAAATGGTTTTGGCCCGGCCATGAAAGAAATATAGTGATGGTACCAGGCAAACCTCTCTGGGGAGCAAATTCCACAATTGGGGTGCCACTGCACAGAAGGCCCTTCTCCGGGTAGCCACCCTCCTAATCTCCTTCAGGGAGAGCACCCGGAGAAGGGCGTCTGCTCCAGATCTTAAGGGGCAGGCAGGCACATTTGGAAGGACGTGGAGAACATTCAGGATTTACAGGTCCAAGGTGGGGGGGGGGGGGCGTGGCAGGACTCCTGCAGCCAGCCAAGCCTGACACCATTCTTGACTCCTCGATGTGCGGTCAGGAGAAGCGGGCCAACCAGCAAGAGGGGTGACGGAGAGAGAAGAGGGTTTCTGTCTGCAGAAAGGACATCCCAGCGGGAGGGGCCCTGGGATATACCCAAGGGAAGAATGCTGAGAAGCACTTGTTAGACTGAGTTCAACGAACCGCTCTGCCCATGCTCAGACACCGTTCCTTGTTGGTTGTGCTTGCTGGAAGCACCCTGGAGCACAGAACTGTTACCAAAGAATAGTCTGTTTTGGAAGCGCGAAGGGGGAAACTTGGCTTGTGACAAGTACTCCAGTGTATAAACACCACAGAGAAGCAGAAGGGCGGCATGGCGTCTTTTCTAACTGCTCTCAGCCACGGACCTTTTCATCAGGCTGCCCACCACGACCCCACGGCCCCTTTCCCGGTCCCTCACCACCAGCTGAAAGAGCATCCCCAGTCGGGGGCACCTGATATGACTCCGTTTACACTCGCTAGCACTGGACCACGTGTGCTATCCGGATGTCCGTTCCCCAGTTTGGAGCGCTCCATTGGGCATTTTGTGCCATTCTGTTTTGGTCTAAAAACACTTTGCTGCCCTCAGCAAACATGGTCACTTCGCTCACCCTTAACTCTGGGTCATTTAGGAACAAGTTAAACGTTTGTGCACTTCAGAACAGGCTCCGAGCACAGCGTTCGTTGGTTTACGACACTTACGTCCTTCCTTTTCTCATCTTGCAAGGAACGCAAGGCCGCTTACATGGTCTTCCTCCTGTTTTATCCTCACAACAACCCTGTGAGGTAGGCTGTAATTGACCCAAGCTCACCGAGTGAGCGTCATGGCTGAGTGGGGATCTAACTATAACGCCACACTGGCTCAATTGAGAAAACCCCAGTTTTCTCACTATTGCATGCGAGGAGGCAGGACTTCCTGCCCGGAGTTAATGTTGCCAAAGCACAGCTGACAGAATGTTCTCTGCCCTGCCCTGCATGCAAAACACTTCTCTAGAAAGAAAAAGTGCCTTTGTCCCATTCGCTGCCAGCAGGTGGCCCATGACATATTTTCCTGGAGGGAATCCGGTCCTCCAGGGAAAAAAGAGGACCCCCACCCTTGTTCTGCAGCCTTCACACAATCAAATTTTGGGCAGCGCTGAATGTGGCCTAGAGCTTAGCAGGGGAAAAAGGTCTCAGCAGGAGAAAAAGGGATCTCAGTCAAAATGTATTTCTGTCTTCACAAACACAAAGCTTGCTTCAGTCCCTGCCAGCCCACCCACTTCCAAACATTTCCCCATTTTCTTCTCTACGGGTTATTTTTGCTCCAGTACCTCTTTGCCATGTTATGCTGTCCGGATCAATATCCAATCTCACAAATCTGTTTATCTCTTCATCTGTCAAAGCCCCTGGGTCCGTCTTCATAATATGTAATCTCTGAGGAGGAAGGGAAGGAGCAGACGGGAAGAAAAACAAGTCCTTAAGCAAGTTCATTCGGAAAAATCATTAAAGGTTTTCAAAAAGGCAGTGGGGAGTGAGTGCCTAGTAGCTTAACCTGAAACTTCAAACCAGGTAAGAATGGGGGCTTGAAACAGTTTTTCTCAGTGGGCAGAACATTTAACAGAACCAGAATTTCACCTTCAGCATGACAGATGCAAACATGGCACCTAATTTTTTTCCAGACCCTTCTCCCCTAACAGTTGCATAACCTAGAAGAAAAATGTAAAAGCAGGTGAAATCCAACTACTCCGTCTCTCTACTACTTACCTTCATAATGGGAAGTACTTGACCTATTAAAGATACCTGAGAGTTCTAAGAGCAGAGGAACAGGACGGAAAAACAAAGATGGTGGCCCTCACAGGAGCACCATGACAAGGAAGAGGAGAGCCAGTGTGGTGTAGTGGTTAAGAGCATGGGACTGGGACTCAGGCGATCTGGGTTCTAGTCCCCGCTCAGTCACGAATCCAACTGGCCGGGTGACTTTGGGCCAGTCACAGACTCTCAGCCCAACCTACCTCACAGGGTAGTTGTTGTGGGGATAAGACGGAGGAGGAGAATGATGTAAGCTGCCTTGAGTACTTTGTAGGAAAAAGGCAGGATATAAATCGGGAAAAAAAAGAGAGATTGGCTGGTTCAGTGCAAGATGGTGACTCAAGAAAACACGGAAGCAAATCCAGCTTTGGGAGCTGGCGATCCTAAGCCTAGGTCTGGCTCATTTCCATGCTTCCATCCTATTTGGGTTAACGAATACCACAGCTCCAGGCTGTAGATCAGGCACCTAAATGGGGCTCACAGGCATCTAATTAAGTAGACTGTGTCCACAAAGCTGATGTCACACTACATTTCTTAGTCTTTAAGTTGCCACAAAACCCTTTCTGGTGTTTTTTAAGGGTAGAAGCAAAGTTCAGATTTGTTCCAACAGTCTGGAATCTGCATTCTCGTCCTACTATGTAACAGGTCACAGCTCTGGGTCTTGCATGGTCTACTAAAGTCTATCCTAGTGAACTTGTGCACAAGTGAGACACCTTTTCTGCACAAGTATCGTTCCAGAAATCTCCACAGAAGAGGAGCTGCATGCTCACCTGAAGTCTCTGGAGCTGGATGTCGGAGAACTTCCTTGTGCCATCCACTGAAGGGACCAGGCGGGAATAGAGAGCCTTAAAGAAACAGAATGAGCTGCTGAAGGGCTGCAGAATTTCGACACATGAGGGATCTGGTCCAGGGCTGGGAACCCTTCAGATTTACTCAGCTCGGCTCCCTGGATTCCGGCCCACTTTCTCTCTGTCCTCTGCCCACCTCATGCCAAGGGATCAAGTGGGTTTTGGAAGGAAGTGAGTCCATAGGGCTGGCACGGCCAACCACGCCTGCCCTGGGCAAATGGAGCTCTGCTCCCACACGCACCACTTGTGGGTTTTGCACACTTTGTGCAAGGAGGGGATCTGTTAGCATTCCGAAGCATTTGCGGACTGGATCTTGGCTTGGCTCTCTTCCTGGCCAGGGCCAAGAATGGGAAAGAACCGCAGCCAGAGCTGGAGAGCCAGATTCAGCCTGAGAGTGGCATCCCGAGCACTGAGGATGTACCCTGGGGTAAAAGGATCCCTGGAGCAAGCTACCTGATCGGTCTGTGTCGCCTCGTGGAAGATGCGCGCATCAATAGCAGCAGCAACCAGGTTGTTGGCTGCCGTAATGGCATGGATGTCCCCCGTGAGGTGGAGATTGAACTGCGGAGGGAAAGAAAAGCAGTGGGCAAACAAGCCCAGGCGTCCTCAAACCAGCTGCTTACCCTGACAGCGCACCATGGGTTATTTAAGCCACAGAGGAGTTTTGCATGCCTGGTACAGGCAGCAAAAGGTTTGTGGCTTGTGGGTTGTTGTGCTGTGCCAGCCCAGAAGCATAACTCATGGTCTGTTCTAGGGTTGTGCGAATGTTACTGAACCCAGTTCTGCCGGGTTTGTACAACATGGTGACTCCTGAGTGGAGGCTGGATAGACAACAGGGTGCCTGCAGCACTGCAGCTTGTCATGGGTAAAATAACCCACAACGAGCCGTAACAAGCAGCCCAAAACTCAGTCAAGGTGGAAAATTGAGCCGTGAAGTTCAAAAGGCACCACAAGCCTTTCCCAAATGTGCTGAATTATACCTCCCATCATCCCCAGCCCACATGGGGAGGCTGCATTAAATGTCCCCCTTACTCTCCCAGGGAAAAGAGGTTTATGGCCATGCTGGGTGTGGTAATGGAGTTGCAGTCTAATCTATTTGAGGGTACTATGCCGGGGAAAGATGGTTCTGTTTACTAGCAGAAGCATGAGAGAGAAAAAGGCTTCTCCACCAGGCTGGCATCATTTTGCAAAACCTGTTGCATCTAGGAAAAGAAGGGTGCAGAGATAAGGCTTCAACAGAGACGTGGAGCTTCTTTCAGCCCAAGGGCCAAGCTGCATTTCAGAGATGCTCTCAGGGACCACAGTGTAGCGGGGGCAGTCAAAGATGCGAAGACAAGAAGGCCAGCATGTTACTTCTTAAAGCTCTGCTGCCCGCGGGGCTCTGAACCTCAGCTCAGAAGAACATGTTTAAACCCACTCCTGCTCTTCTAGCAGTTCTTCAGTACCAGCCTCTCCAAAGTGCCGGGTGGGTGGCTGGGAGGGGCCAAAACACCAAGGCACTTTCCCAGCCATACGTTGTCATACCCTGTTGAAGTTCAACATGGACCAGAAACAGGGATTTGTCCATCCCTAACTGTATGACTATGAACTCAGGAAATCACATGCCGGGGCAAATCACTGAGGCCCTTTACTCCTATCCGTCACCTTCCCCCTAGCAAAATGCCACTCTCCAGCGCTGCTAAGGTCCACCTTGAGCTCCTACACCACGGAAGCCTCATGGGCATGTATCCTGATGCTCTGGAATCACGAAGCATCCAACCATAAGCCCCCAGTGCCAACCTTTTCGTCGCCACAGCATACAATTTAATGTTGCAGTTACCTCTTCCATAGGGACCACCTGAGAATAGCCACCTCCAGCAGCACCACCTGCAGGGAACATGAAAGATACCAAGCATGACCTTGTGAGCATCATTTGATGGAAAGGCGCAGAAATAAATAAACCTTCCTAACCAAGGATCAGTGCAAAAAAAATAAAAAAGGCCTAAGCTAATTTTTTTCTGGATCCTATTAATAGCGTTGAAAGTAGATTATGTATTTTTCCATAAGTCACATTATGGCACACTAGAAGATTAAGCTTTACAAGCACAGAATGGTCTTCCCAGCACTGCGTTAATATTTTTACAGGTTCTTCTTATCTGTGCAGTCCTGCAAACTGGCATGACATAACTAGCACTAGCTATACTGCTAGTTACAAAGAACTAGTAATAACTACAAATAACTGGCAGAATCAAAATGATTGTCAAGGAGAGACTAAGTTATAACCTAATCCATGGCTGGCTAGTTTTCCAAGGACAAGGGGCTAGAGGATTATCAGGGTCAGCCTGGAAAGCAAAACCTAAGGAAATATTTATTTTTAATTATTCATTCAACTTGTCTTCTGCTCTACTAGTCTGAGGACTCTCCAAGCAGATTACACTATGACCGGTCCCTTCCACGAATTATATCACTAGAACAAAGGTTGCACTGCTGTTTGTGGCTACCACTCCATTAACTCTAACGCCTTCCCTATCCCGCCACAAGCTGTGCTGCATTAAGAGGCAGGCCGCCATTTGGTATGTGTGACAGGAGGACGGCTGCTGGGACACAGCTGCTTGGAAGGACTTTTCCCAGGTTGGCACCGTCCCCTACTAGAAAGAGAACCAGATCACCCCCTCCCCTGCTCCCAGGTTATCACCAATATTCGTTGGAAACAACAAGGTATTCCTCTCCTCCATGGCTCCTCACAAAGCCCCCAGGAGAATCCAAGCAGAGTGGCAGGGCTGGGGAGGAAGATGGTTGATGGAGGAAGCACCTCCATGGATACTCGGCTGATGGCTAAGAGGCTGCCCTCCCCTCCCGTTCCAGTAGGACCAGCCCTGCGACACAGATGCCGCATCACGTCAGGTCAGACCACACCTTCCATCCCAGGGTGGCCTTCCAGGGTTCCCTCTCCTCCCCAACTGCTACCTAAGCCTTTCACCTGGAGTTGCCAGGGCTCCTGGGCACAGCTATTTACCTACAACATTTCTATCCCTTCTTTATCCAAAATGGATCTCAAGACAGCTTACAGATCAGAAGCATAACAGCACATTAAAACGCAGTATAACAATATACAAAAAATAATTCCAGCTATATGATAACACAATCAGCCCTTACACTAGCTGAATAAAAAGGTTTTGATGTGGCGCTGGAAAGAATAAAGCTTTGGCACCCGGCACACCTCTCTGAAGAAGTTCCAAAGCCGGGGAACGCTTTGCCCGCAAAGCAGATGCTCTCAGGCAGAGCTGCAATTGATTGCCCCCCCCACCCCCCCCCCCCCACAGCTGCTCATACCTTTAATTCCAAAGGTGGGTCCCTGTGAAGGCTGCCGGACACAAGCGAAGGCGTTCTGACCGAGGTGTGACCCCAGGGCTTGCACTAGCCCTATTGTCGTGGTGCTTTTCCCCTCTCCCAGCGGGGTGGGCGTTATACTTTAATGCACAAAAGAAGGAACACAAAACAATGCCATGGTGAAACTGGTGAAAAGTTGGATCCTCATCCTTTTGAAAGTGAAGCAGCAGGGCGACATACAAGAGCCAATGTGGTGGAGTGATTAAGAGCATGGATCTGGGACTCAGGCGATCCGGGTTCTAGTCCCCGCCCAGCCATGGAGCCAACTGGGTGACTTTGGGCCAGGCACAGCCTCTCAGCCCAACCTTCCTCACAGGGTGGGGACAAGATGGACAGCAGAAGGAGAATGATGTAAACCACTCAGTTCTTTCAAAAGAAAAAAGTTGGGATAGAACTCTAATGAATAAATGATCAATAAATATACATCCCAACAGCAAAAATGCAGCAAACATGGCGGCTGTTTCTCATTCGCCCACCAAGGTGGTTTGATTGACGAGTGCCGCCAAATAGACCTTTTGGGTAGTGGACACTCATCTCTGGAAGGAGCTTCCGTCAGAGGTTCGCTGGTCCCTTTCTTTGCCACTCGTCATGGAGGTTCTGAACACCCACTTGCGCATCCATCGTTCTGGGGCAGATGGCTTTTCCGTGCACTAATTATGTTTGCTGATCTGGTTGTTCTAAGGGCACAGTTGCTTGACTTTGGGCCGATCAGTCTCAGCCTAATGTAACCTCACAGGGCTGTTGTGAGGGTAAAAATGGGGCTACGAGGACTGCCCTGGGTTCATCATAAGAGGAAAAATAGTGGGATAATAGTGCGATGTGGTGACGATGGTAACAAAATTAATAAGGGGAGCAACTACACACAGGTGCAACTCTTCTTCCTTTCCCTCCAGCAGCTGACCCAAGACGCGCTTGGACCTGCAAAAAGGCTTGTTGTCTGGCCATGCCGGGGGTCCCGGGCTCCCTGCCTACGAAGTGGGCTTCCCCGCATTCTGCCGCCGAACAAAAGCTTCCCTGGCAAGCTTTCAGTTTGAAAGGTCTAAACGGAATCAAAATTTACCTGGTGCATCTTGTACTTAAACAGTGGCAATCCTGTTTGCCTTGATGTTTCACTCTGAAGTTTTGTGTTATTTGTACGGATACATTTTGTGTTTATTAGTGCTGTCTTTGGATTATTTTAATACCAAGAATGAAAGAGTCCTGCTGGATCCCTCTAGTCCAGGATGCTATTCCCACAGGAGCCAGCCAGCTGCCCACAATCATGGGTGCAATGGCACCCTTCCACCCATGTTCCCCACAACGATGCTGGTAAGCCCACTGCCTCTGATGCTGGAAGCACAGCCATGAGGACTAGTAGCCAGAGATGGCCTTCGCCTGAAGGACTTTGGCCAATCTCCTTTTAAGGACATCCAAGTTGAGGGCCGTCACTACACCTGGGGAAAGGAATTCTATCATTTAACCATAGAGTTAAGTGAAGACAAACTTCGTTTTATCCAGCCTGACTCTCACATCAGTCAGTTTCCTGGGATGACCCTCTGGGTCCTAGAATTGTGAGGCAGAGAAAAATGTCTCCCTATCCCCTTTCATGTTTTTCTCAGCTAAACCGTTCCAGATGTTCTCATTTTTCCTCATAAAGATTTTGCTCCAGTGCTCTCATCTTCCTATTTGTCCAACCATACAATGTTATTTTCAGCAGAGATGCAGAAGTCTCCCCCACCAATGAGGAATCCTTCATGTTTGTCCATTATTTTTTTAAAAAGCACAATTTTTCCCCAGGGATTTTTTTTAACTTGGGGGAAATAGAGTTTTCCTTGATTTTTATGTTTTCCCCCAACCTTCACATCTCTAGCTGTCCATTGCCTTGAGTTTTTTCCTTTAAACAGAAGGGCAGGACATGGAACACTATTATAAAGCCCAGGTTTACTGGCAAGCTTCCAAGAACCCCAGCAGAAAAGCCACCCACTAGTTAAGGTTGTAGAAACTATCCAAAAATCCTACCCGGTTACCACAACGTATTTGCCATTTGGTTGGTCTTGGAGGCGCTTCAGTGTTGACAGGGAAATTTTGGCTTTCTGTTGACCATAGAACTCCACCTCATCCGAGATCAAGCCGATCTCTTGGGCCAGCTCGCCAATAGCCTTGGGAATGCACGACCGTGATATTTCAATATCGCTGAAAGTCAAAGCAGCAGTGGTCAAGGTACGGGCGCAACGGCATGTCCCCGGCCATGTTCTCCAGCAACCGGTGTTCACACGCGCACTGGCACGGGACGCAGCACGTAGCCATCACAAGCAGCATCAGGAGAAAGTGAGAGGCCGGAGCTGAGCCCACCTGTCGGTGGGGGGCATGGCTTCCTCAGCAGTCGTTTTTCTTCAGTGGGTGGCAAGTGGGACAGCGCCCTTGGGTGATGCCAAAGGGTATCACCCATTTGGCGCCGGTTTGGCGTGGGTTCAGGCACCAGCCCTTTGGTGAGGGTGAGGACAATAATTGCAGGAACTTACTGTTTTATTAATGTACTGTTTATCTTATTGTACTTTATTGTAAACCACCCAGAGCGCCCTCTGGGTTATGGGGCAGTAAATAAAGGAAAACAAAAACAAGTAAGAGCAGCTTCTTCCCTCCATTTTCCCATTCCCCCTTTAAAACCACCAAATGGGTGGCCTTCCCTATACCCCGCAGAAGTGAATTTCATGCTTCAAATATACACTGTGGGTAGAAGTAATGCCTTTTTCTATCCTGAATCCCCCACCATTCACCTTCATGGGATGGCCCTTCTGGGTTCCAGTGCTATTAGGAGAGATGGAGAAAAATGTCCCCCTGTCCACTTTCTCTACATAATGCATAATTCTGGACAAAATAAAAAATGAGGGCAGGATAATCAACAACATTAGCCACAGCCTTTCTAGCCCAGGAGTCACTCACCTTGGAACAGGCGTTCTAGGACTGAGCTGGTTATACTGAATATTCCATTTGCCGGGCTGGTATTTCTCTAGAAAACGTTGGGCGCTTTCTACTGTACTCTGAATCCATGTACAAAACAAAGATAAAGCAAGAGGTTCATCACATGGGAAAGTCAATACACTCCTCCCCGTTTTGTCATCTGGCACATTCCTGGCAGCCCGCTAAGATCCCCAAAGGTTTTTCACGGACATGGAACATCATTTCCACAGGGTGGGGAGTGGCTGTCCCCAACCCCAGACAGAATTACGCAAAATTTAGATTCCTGCTTAAGAGCTGAGCTTTTGAAGGACTTTTGTTCCACGGTGCCTCCCTGAACACTGCAGTCTGCAGAAGAGGCCCATCTCCAAGCTTCCTCCTCCATTGAGTGTTCAACAAGCAAGCACAAGGAGAAGGGCCTTGTTGGTGGTGACACCGTTGTTGGGGAATGTTCTCCTGAGAGACCTGGCTACCTCTGCATCTTCTTTTCAAATTGTATCAAGGTGGAGGGCACAATCCTATGCATGTTTAGACAGAAAGACATCTTATAACTTCCACGTCTGCTGGGGAATGCAGGGAGTTGTAAGACTTTTCCTGTCTAAACCTTCATAGGACTGTACCTTAGGTTGCTTTGGGATGTTCTTACAGGGAGACCAAACATTCTTTTGCTAGCCTAACCTGTTATGATTAGGACTTCACTGATTGCTTTATCATTACTCTGGATACATCAGCTTGCATGTTGGCTACCTTCTGAACATGGTTCAGTTTTTGTAAAAATACTGCTGATGTATTCCTTGTCTTACTACTTCTTTAAAAAAAAGAAGTTAGTATAATAGTGTAAATAATTAGAGCAGGGGAGGAAAAGCTCAGGTCATAAACCAGTTCTCACTGTCCAGGGTGGAATATGGTCCCTGGGATTCTCCAGACAGCCGTGCCACCTTCCCTTCCCCCCACTTCTGCCAACTACTGATTGGGATAAAATACAAAATATTACTGCTGCAAATCATTTATGAAATATTGCTAATTATTAAGGCTATTCTAACATATACAGAGCTCTGGGGAGAACCATGCTTGTAAAGATGCTTCTGGAAAAACAAGAGCTTCTGTGGCAGGAGAGGCTGGGCACACAGCAAGCTGATGCCCGCAGAGGGACCCCCAGGTGCTGAGAGAGGAGTGTACCTACTTGCATCAGCATGGCGACCGTCATTGGCCCAACACCGCCTGGCACAGGGGTGATGTAAGCCGCTCTCTCTCGTGCGGCACTGTAAGCAACGTCCCCGACAACCCTCTTCCCACTGGGCCTTGTGCTGTCTGTGAGACAGAGATAAGGGGAAGGGGAAGGAAAAGACAACCCGGTAAAAGCACCAGCAGAAAAATTTAGCAGAAGGATGTCTTACGGGCCAAAACACACACATGGACAAGCTCTTAGCTGCACTGAACCCTCTTGAGGATAGACAGGAGGGCTTTCATAATGAGCTGCGTTTGCCCCAAATTTCAGGCATGCCACGCGTTTGTGCCTGGCTAGTCCTTCAAGCTTATTCCTAAGTCAGACTGTGAGGATTCTTGGGATTTACAAGGGATGGGGAAAGAAAGTGGGCTGCGCAGAATAATACTGTATTAAGGCTCTGGTGCTCGCATCAGCAAATTTGAATACTTCTTCGAGTTAAACTGAAGATGCTTGTAATACAGATGGGCTGTCCAGTCTCTATGGCTTAGAACAGGAGTCAGACAAGAGGAATTGGAATAAAGCAACTTGGGGACCATTGCAAAATGGCTCCCATGGGGGTTGCCCATTGATAAAACGGCTGCCGTAGGCAACACAGCAAGCCAAAAAACACATTTGAAGAAAGCAAAGTAGTGAGGCAAAAATAAACTTAGCTAACAAGTTGCGGGTCCTGTATTTACCCATACTAGCCTTACCAAGGACAAGTCAAGGTGATCATTGGCAAAATTGCTGCCTTGATGAAACAAAAGGTTGAAAACGGATCTTCTATACTGCTTGCTTAATACACGCATGCAGTTCCGCTACTCGGGAGCAGGAAAAGGTGAAGGTAGAACAAGGTACGAAATGCCACTAAAAGGGGAATTAATTTGTTGCTTTCTGAAATACCTAGCACCTTCACTGGCTTCACAGTATTTATTAGGGTAAATGTTTCAGCTATGGGGCAGCATATAAATGAAGTAAAAATAAATAAAATTAACACTACATTTTTCACACACACACACAGAGGGAGGGAAGGAGGGAGAGAGAGGGGACTATGTGGAGAGCCAGTGGTGAACAATGCAGGACTGGGACTCGGGTGATCTGGGTTCTAGTCCCCGCTCAGCCATGGAGCCAACTGGGTGACTTTGGGCCAGTCACAGACTCTCAGCCCAACCTACCTCACAGGGTTGTTGTTGTGGGGATAAGATTGGGAGGAGGCGGAAGAGAATGATGAAAGCCTCTTGGAGTTTTGTGTAAGAAAAAGGCAGGATAGAAATCTATTATATAAGTCATAATAAATGAACAGGCTGTGAAAGTCTCTAGCGCTTTGTGAACAGAGGTAAATTTAAAGTGCTAGAGGTGCTTCCCCATCTCTCCAAGAATGGCCTTCTAAGGCAGCTGCCTTGAAAATCTGTTTCTGTGAAGCTCCCATCATCCTCAAACCAGCATATTGGTTCGCAGATGATGGGGGGGGTGCTGTCTGGCACAGCGGGGGGCCCAGACAGAGGACGGCCACCCTGCAGAGCATCCAGCAGAGAACAGTCGATCCAGCTGTCTTAACGAAAATTTAAAAAGATAAGCCCATCGTTATTTTTTAATGTCAACTTCATACCTAATTCAATATCAATGCCATGAAGCCCATTTCATCCTATAAAATCCTATTTCAATTTGTTAAAATGCCTCTGATCTTAACTTTGGATTGTTTCATGTTCCCGCTTCAAAGACCGATCGAACAAGAGCAATTACTCTCGAAGTCATTAAACTGCGGCGTCCCCCTCGGAAGTTCTGCAAAAGCAGGCGCGTCACTGTCGCACAGAAGCCGCGGCCCCCGTCGGCTCGTGGCCTGACCCCGAGGGGCCTCCCTGTTGCACCAGGGCCAGTGTCCACCTCACCCCAGATTCCATGCGCACAGGGGCCAAACCGCTGCCTTCGGGGCACCCACACGTGCCACAGCACCCTCCGGCCCATGTGCCCCTGCAACCTGTGCCTATTTGCATATTCCTTCTGATACCGGAAGCACAGCGTCATCACGACAAGCAGCCACTAACGCAAGAAAAGCCGTGTGGGATCCGTCCCAGGGGCCATCTAGTCCAGCACTCCACAGGATGGGTGCAAGAGCGCCCCTTGCCCAAGCTCCTCAGCAACTGGTGTAGGCAGGCAGGCCGGCCGGCCACCTCTGGCACACGGCCAGCAAGGCCAATAGCCACAGAGAGCATCCCTCCTCATGAATCCGTCCCATTCCCCTTTAAAGCCATCCAGACTGGCGGCCACCAGCACTTCCCCTGGCAGCCAATTCCACGGTTCAACTATGCTGAAGAAGCACTTCTTTTCTCTATCCCAACCTTCCCCCCAGTCAGTTTCATGGGATGGCCCGGGTTCAAGTGTTATGGGAGAGGGAGAAAAATGTCTACCCTCCACTTTTTCATACCATGCATTCAAGGCACCCCTTCCCGTCTCTCCTCCCTTGCCTTTTTTCTAAGCTGAACAGTCCTAGTTGTTGTAGCTACTCCTCACAGGAGAGCTGCTCCGGCCTCCTGATCATTTTTGCTGCCCTTCTCTTTTTCCAACTCAATAAAACCCCTTTTTCAGGTAAGTCGACCAAAACCGAGCACTATATTCTGAATGTGGTCACACCAAAGATTTGCGTAAGGGGAGTGAGATCGCGGCAGGTCTATTTTCTTCTCTGTTCCAAATTAGGCCTGTCATGGAGTTTGCCTTGTTCACAGCATCTGCGCACTGGGCTGACATTTTCACTGAGTCGCTACCCCAAGACCCCTTTCTCGCTCAGTCACTGCTAATCCAGATGGCATCAAAATATACTTGATGCTGGGGGTTTCTGCTCCAACAAGCATTACGCTACGTTCACTTACAATGAACTGCATTAGCCATTCTGGTGCCCAGCTTGGAGGGATCCCTTTGGTGCTTTTCACAATCCCTTTTGGTTTTAACCATCCCAAAGAGTTTAGTGTCATCAGCAAACCTGACCACTTCTCTACTTATTCCTAATTCCAGATCATTTACAAGGAGGTTGAAAAGAATCTGTCTTGGTACAGAACCCTGTCGGACTCCACTGCTGACTCCATCTCTCTATTGGGGAAAATGCCATTTATTTCCACCGTCTTGTCTTCCGTTCTTTAACCAGTTAGTGATCCGCACAAGGACCCCCACCCTTTTATTCCATGACTGCTTAGTTTGCCCAGGAGCCTTTGATGAGGGACTCTGTTAAGAGCCTTTTGGAAGTCAGTAAACAGTAGTTTACTTGGACTACAATCTACTTCAACTACAATCCAATGTCTAATGGACTGCCCCATCTATGAGCTTACTGACTCTCTCAAAGAACTCTAATAGGTTAACGAGACAAGATTTCCCCTTGTGGAAGCCATGCTGGTTTTTTTCCTGCAGAGCTTGTCCCTCTATGTGCTTACTGATTCTATCTTTAACAATGCTTTCAAGCAGTTACGCACAATAGATGGTAAGCTAACTGGCCTGTAATTTCCCAGATCCTTTTTAAAAAAGTGGTGTTACACTGGCCATTCTCCAGTCCTCTGGTACAAGAGCTGATTCCAAGGACCTCTCTCTCTCTCTCTCTCTCTCTCTCTCTCTCTCTCTCACTCTCGCTCTCGCTCTCTCTCTAAGATATTTGTATGCTGTCCTTTGCAAGAGCCTCAGGACGGCTTAAACAAATAAAATACATATGCATATGAAATATTTTGCTAAGAAGGCCAGCAATTCCATGTTTGAGTTCTTTGAGAACTCTAGGATGGACACCATCTGGACCGGTGGACTTGCTGATTTTCAGTTTAGGGCTGCCTGACAGCTTTCTCTCCCAGGAAATTGTCTAATTCCCCCCAAACCTAAACTGGTGCTCATCATGACCTCTTGTGGCGGCAGCAAATATCACAGCATAACTCTGTCCTGTGTGAAGAAGTGCTTCCTTTTATCTGTCCCAAGTTGGCTTCGTGGGATGACCCTGCTGGGACCAAGGATTATGAAAGCAAAAGGTCTCCCTATCCACTCAGTCCATGCCACGCACAATCCCTGGCTGCCAGGTGTCTGGCTCTTCTCAGGCTAGGAAAGACTACCTGAGAGAGTCGAAAGGTTTTGGGAGAGTCACGCGCACGGCATTAGTCCAGGAACAAGATCCTGCCCCCCAGGAGGAAAGGACCAGGTAGTGTTCTGCAAGTAATACCTGGAGCTCGCTACCCCTTCTCATTCCTCCACCACAAAAAGATTTTTTTAAAATTCCCCTCCATTGATGAACAACTCCAGTGAACCACAGCCAACACCAAATTAAGCTAAAATAACATTAGCCACAGAAGTGGCTTTTAAAAAAGCTACATTAGATCATTGCAATAAATGACTGATCACTTATAAAAGCAAGCTTTGTGGAAGTACAGTAAGTGGGAAGACGGCAACAGCTTGGCAGGTGTGACTAATCTTCTTATTTGAGAACCTGAGACTTAGAGACTTACTTAAGAAGGTGGTGGGGAGGGGGGGGGGAGGGAGCCAGTGAAACATTGCATAATGCTGCCTTTTTAGTAGCAAGCCACTCTCTGGTTCATTAATCCGGTTCTTGGAAATGTCAGTGAGGCAGGGACAGCATCTAAACTTGCAGGCAAAAAACGCTACGGAAAGGGAAGCGTCCTAATCCCTGAACAGGGCTAGCCAAGCTCACAGAATCATAGAACAGGAGAGCTGGAAGGGCCCTGGTGGACCTCTGCATAAGAGGAAAGCAGCGATGTGGACGCTTTGGATCCCTTTACTGGCCAGATACCTGAGCAGCTTCCATTGTGCGAGCCTGGCCATCCCTGCTTGAGAAGGATGCAGCGGGAGCAGGTGCACAGATCATGTGTTACCTTCAGAACACGGGTCCCTCTTGATCCTGGACCGGTCACTATCTCTCAGCCTAACCTACCCCAGAGGGTTGTTGTGAGGATAAGAGGAAAGGGGGGACCTTTCCCAGGAACCCTCTCAGTTTCCCTTGGAGAAAAACAGGACATCAGAGTCTTCACTGCCTCCCCGCATGACCAGCTTCCTCTTTGACTACCCTTCATTGGTGACGGGAGGAAAAAGTCCAGGAAGATCTTGCATGAGTACAGACGGTAAACGGGCTTTGTTGGACTGCACAGTGTTAACAACCATTAATTCTATTTGACCAGAATGGATCAGATCGTGTTCTACAGGAACAACTGAGGTCGGGTTGCAAATTTTTGGATCCTTGTTCCTTTAATGCCTTTGTGAAGGTTTGGGCCTTTCTCCAAATTAGGACAGACCATCTGACCTAAGGAATTATTAGAAGATGCTAACACGGTCTCCCTAACGTGTTGCCCTCAAGATGTCCTGACTAACTTCCATAGTTCCCAGTCAGGATGGCCACTGGGAGATGCAGCCCAAAACAGGGTGCCAAAGCTGTTGCACTAAACTAGAGACGCTATTCATGCCCCCATTCCCCACCCCCTGTATGCCAGCCTGCACATATTGGCCGGGCTGAAACAATGTAAGTGTGGGTTGTCGTTCAACCTTGGATTATCGCTGAAATGTAAGTGACCATGTTGTCTCAATGCAGCCATGCTAACAAACATGGGCTGCTAACCATGAACAACCCACAACAACAAACCATGGCTTCTTTTCATGGCTTCTTTGTAGCGAACAACCCATGGTTTGTTAGCACAACTGGGTTCAGACAACATGATAACCCAGGTTTCAACAAGAACCTATGGCTCAACGAGCCTTGAAGGTATGTTATCATGTTGTCTGAACCAAGGCACTTGCTGAGTACTTTTTAAAAATGTTTGTATCATTACCTGGTACATGGTTGATTCCACAGTCGATCACCACTGCCCCTGGCTTAATCCATTCACCCTGCACCATTTCAGCTTTGCCCGCTGCCACCACCAAGATATCAGCTTTGCTGACCTGTAAACATCATATTAAACCAGGGTTTCATTTACCTTCCACTCTTTCTCTCTGTACATAACAATGTATCTAATTACAAAGAAATGTTTGAGAATGGAAGAACCTATGAGAGGAGTAAGGATCACTTCAATCAATAAAAATATAAACATTTCGAGTTACAACTTTAGCTGGTTAAGCATCGTGCAGTCTCCCCTCTCAGGAATGACAATCTGCCTCCAAACACCCAAAAGTCATTTCCCCCAATGCTCTGAGTTGATCTGTCGGTAAAGACCTTCTGCATTCCCTTCCAAATGCTCCCTTTTGTAAAAAAAATGCAATAAAATAGTACATCCTCATCTGCTTACTGCGGTCCAGCCTATCAGAGGGCTAAATGAGAACTCCTCCCCTTGACAAGCTAGTTTTCTACAAGCAGGGAATTCTGGCATGTGGGACAATTCCTGCCTGCAACCCCCACTTGCAAATCTAAAGGGACCTTTGTGACTTGTCCAGAGCATTTTCAGCGATGAAATGGCCATTTTTGCAACAGTTTCTTGCCAGGCCAAACTGAGCATGTTACACCAAACCGTCCTACAAATAAGCCCTGGTGCTTTGATGGCTTGTGCAGCAACTCATGCTGCCCCCTAACAGAGGGTACCATTACTTTGAGCCCTTTTATCATATGACTATTATTCTCTCTCCCTCTCCTCTTCAATCTACCAAGGAGCTCCAGCAAGTATCCCAGTGTCCTTTGCAGCAAAGTATCTTGTCTCCGCATCTCCTCTCTGATTGCAACCCCTTTTCATCTCCTTCCATTTTCTCTTTCAGAGTCTCAAAACAGCATAATTGGTTGGATTTTTTTCCCCATCCCTGGAAAATTGCACAATTGTGTATGCAACTTTTATTATGATGATTTTTGCTGACCTTTATACAAGTGCAATTCTTATAGCTGTCTGATATGTATAATCTCGCTTGGCTAATTTCCTTGTCTGTTTCAGCTGCCAAAGGGAGCTGGGAAGAATAACAGGTAACAGCCAGTGCAATAGACAAGAAATCAAGGTTCTGCCTATGCTAATTTGCGTAAAGTTGCCAGGACCAATTGCCAGGTTGTCAGAGGAAAAGCGCCACTAAAGGGGAGAGGAAAGTCCCAAAAGAAGGCGCATCAAAAACAGGGTGAACAATATCCATTCTTTCTGTGGATGCTAAAAAGGCCTTGACAAAATTCAGTGGCAATTCACTTTCACTACACTGAATAATTCCAACTTTCCCAATGAATTTTTGAATTAAAATATTATACATTCAGTTCCTAGCATTAGAGTTATACAATGACAAGTCTTTGTTGCTGTTTTCTTTTTCCGTGGAAATCAGGGATGTCCACTTTCTCCACTGATATATATGTTTGGAATCCCTTTAGTGTGTCATTAGGCAGAAGAGTAATATTCATAGCTTAGTGCAAAGTGCTTCGGACTTAAAATGGTTCATGTGAACCATCTCTTACTGTTTATTTTGCAACTCCAGGTGTCTATTTCAGCTTTGATGCAGCTGATTGATACTTTTCATGAGCTGCCTGGCTAAGTCAGTTAACTGGACAAAGTCTGAATGGATGCAGACTGGAGAAAATACAACAGCGTAACTTGTGACTTTCAGTTGTGCTCAGATTTCATTATTGTGTTCCGAATACGTATCTTCAGTTCTCTCTCTCTGATGACTAGGCTAAACTAAGCTAAACAGAGAGAGATGGACATCATTGAAGTTAAGCCTGCAGGTAAAGTTAATACACTTAAGATGAACATCATACTTGGATAGTTGAGGAAAAAAGCACCACAGGCACAACTCATGGGACTTACCTCCTCAGCCAGTGATGTGGTCTTGGAGTGGCACGTGGTCACCGTCGCATGGTTCCAGAGCAGCAGGTCGTGCATTGGAGCCCCGACGATCTTGCTGCGCCCAATAACCACAGCCTTTTTTCCTGCCACTTCCACACCTGAAACACCAAACTGGGTTGGGCATCCAAACTTTTTCCTGTACATTCTCAGGTTCAGTGTTTAGTATCTTCTGCTAGAAGGTTCAGACCCTGGAGAACCCTTGCCAGGCAAAGCAGGCAATTCTGGGACAGATGGTCTAACACACTAAGCTGGAGGGTAGCTAATCTATTTTCTTACTCCTGGTTGAATCTCCTACAGCCTGAGAAGTTTGGAGAAGCTCTGTTCAGCTACAATCCAGGGGTGGGTGGGGACTGGGTGAAAGCTAGTTTTCACGGTAACTAACCCTCAGGGGAGGCATCTGAACTGCCCAATAGCTGGGCAATCACCAAACAATCAGTGGACGGGGAAAGGGGATTGGCTTTCTGGGGAACCCCAGAAGGCCAAATTTGGCCTCTCCGGCTGAAATTCTGCATCTCCCGCTATAGGCATCTCATGCAACTTCAGACCTTCAGAATGCATCTCCTTGGGAACAGAAGTTCGGTGCAGGAGGCAGGGAGCCACACGTTCTGTCTGATCTTGGTAGCCAGCCCAAACTTTGTGGCTATCAGGCCCCTAACTGAGCCACCCCACACACAGGCATTTATAAAATCGTCTGGTCCCTTGCCTTGCACTGCACTGGGCAGAGGCACCCAGCAAAAGATTAGGGACACTGCCCTGCCCTGCCCACCTCTTCCCAGCTTTTAACGCAGCCTGGAGCTGGTCTCCTGCACACTTGGGTCACTCCAAACCCTTCTGAAGCACGACACAATCAAGGACAAGCCCCAGGCCCTCCTCTGAAGGGCACTGCTCAGGAAGACTTCAGGCTCTTCCTTAGCAAAGGTAAGACCTTTCATCCCATGGGAAGGCCATTCCATTGTGAACTTACAGAATGCATTGCCACAAGGTGTGGCGAATGGAGGTTGCACAGAAGGCTTTAATGAGGAAAAGGATGATCGGTGGCTACTGGCCGCCAGAGCCAAAAATAGGGTGCTGTCTACCAGCTGGTGGAGGTCAAAGGTGAGAAGACAGTAGGTCTCCAGCGAGCTCACTTTGAGAGTCTTCCATCTCATGCGGCTGCCTGCCTCAGAGGCAGCGTGCGAAGTCAGACAGATGTCTGGGCTGTTCCAGCACTGTTTCTCCTGTATTCTTATTGCCCATACTGGACATCTGGTTGCGCATCAGCCTTTCCCCAGTGGCCCATCTTCCAGATATGTGAACCAGAACCCCATCACACTGTGACAGCCAGTGTGGTGCAGTGGTCAAGAGCACAGGACTGGGACTCAGGCAACCTGGGTTCTAGTCCCCATTCACCCATGGAGCCAGCTGGGTGACTTCAGGCCAGTCTCAGACCTTCAGCCCAGCCTACCTCACAGGGCTGCTGTTGTGGGGATAAGACTGAGTGCAGGAGGAGGGGAATGACGTACACTACCTTGAGTTCTTAAAAGAAAGGCAGGATGTGCATTTAAGAGGTAAATAAATCCTCTCCAGCTGGTATGGCCAATGCCCAGAGATTAAGGAAGCTGCAATCCTGAACACCTGGGGGGCACCAGGGTCCGTCATGGCTGACAGCAGTTCTCCAGGGCCCAGGCAAAACTCCTTCACATTCTTACCAGGAGCTAATTTTCTGACCGGTCCCAAAAAGGCAGTCCTTTGGCACCAGGATCACCAGCCTTCCCAGGTGTGTGTGTTGCAACCCTGGCTCTGCCATGCAAGCCCCCACATGTCCCTTCTCCTTGCTCACCTGTCTGCCTGATAAGTTCCATGCATCCTTTCGGGGTACATGGGATGAAGCAGTCCCCAAGGTCCCCCCGTGAGAGCTTTCCCGCATTGATGCTGCTCAAGCTGAAAAGTTGCAAGAAAACAGTCAAGTCAGTGCTCTCAGAAGAATCAGGCTGTCCAGAGTTTGTTTGCTTGCTGATTTTAAGCTTTTATATACCGTCACATTACTAGCATCTTGGGATGGTTTCAAACTGCTCTTTGCACAGTATGTAGATCAGTCCCAAAACATGGCTTCAAACTCTGCTCTTGGATCTCTTAAATGAACACAGAAGCTTGAATCACTTCTGGATGGAGGTCCCTGTATTGACTCAGGTCTGCCTGGTGCCACCATTGGCATCTTTTTGACACCAGGCTAGGATTTTCCTCTATTCTCAAGAATTCAACATCATTGGAATTTAATGGCAATGGTTTTATCAGGTCCAGGTATCTTAACATGTAGCTGTTCAAAATGGTTTTAAAATTTTATATGTTAAAGGTGTTTTTTGGAGTTTTTATTATCTTATATTTGTAGCTTGCAATTTTGTGAACTGCCCAGACAGCTTTGACTATATTATTATTATTTCTATTATAGCCTCTAAATATTTCTAAATGCGATAAGTTTAGAACATCAACAAATCCATCCCACAAGCTCACAAACTAGCAAGACAGAACTCAAAAAAGGAAAATAGAAAGGTGAGGAAAGCAAGCTACCCATGCCAGAATGGACCAAGCTATTCTGCAAACAACTTTATTTCTTGGTGCGTTGCTCTTCCTTCATAAACAAACATGGGTAGGTTTTGCACAGCCCAGCCATGGGAAGTCCAAATGCAGAGGTGACAAATAAGAAATCATTTCTCCCCATAACAACCCAATAAAAGCTGCAAGGAACAAGAGAATCATTGTGTTAACTGGGGCGGGGAGAGCTGAAGAGTATTTATTTCCAGGTATGCCTACCCATCCACATCCTTCTCGGGTGACACAGCATTCGTTACTTTCTCAGTGTTGATGGGCTTGTTGGAATCCAGAGGTAGCTGGACAATGAAGCCATGAACAGCAGGGTCCTCGTTCAGGCGGTTAATACACCTCAGTACCTGAGTGTTTAAAACAGAAATGGGCCATGGGGGGAAACGATATCTCAGGAAGAAAACTATTTCAGAGTAATAGCCCAGCTACATTACATGTATCCCTGCCTTTCTTCCTTTTGCAAGGCACCTTACAAGTTCTCCTCCTCTCCACTTTAATCTCACAACAACCCTGTAACTGGCGGAAACTCACCCAGGGAGCCTCATGGCTGAGTGGGAGTGGGAAGCTGGATTTCCCCAGTCCCGGCCCAGCTTCCTTAATGGCTACACCAGCCTGGCTCCACAAAGTTCGCATGTCCCCTCTGGTGAGCATTCTGCCACTGCAAGGGGCCCTTCTGAGAGCGAAACAGTCTAACTCAGTCTAACAGGACGGGGCCAGAACTCAATGCTGGATCTCATCCTGCGCACAAAGATGTTTCCAAGCACCACCAAGGAAAAGGTAGGTCGGAAAGCTGAAAGACCAGGAATGACCTGCCCCCAACCAGTTTCCATTTACTGGGCTAAATGGTCCACTGATCTGTGTCTGCACAAGAAAGATTTGCAGGTTCACCTCTACGAGAAAATGTAATTGTACAAGCATGACTCTGCAACTAAATGTTGCAACATGAAGTGCTTTTTTTCATGGTTCCAACCGCTGTTCTATTACTCCTCCACCACCACTCCTCCCGTGACTGTGGGGAGGTGTAGAAATGAAATAAATAATAAAACAATAAGAAAGACAACAGTCAGCCGGCCCTCTGCATCTGCTGAAGTTGCGTGACTCTTGCCAGACTGATTTAGACACTATACACTGCTTTCTAATCAAAGCGACATAAACATCTTGCATTCATTCAGTTATTTCTACAGGCAGCTCTCATTTCTGTTGACAGAGACATTTAAAAATAGCTTCCTAGTGAGAACAAGGAATTGCTCAAACCAAACAATGAGATGATATTCTCTGTCCTCTTGATGTCTGTGTCTCTCCATGCTGCTTTTCCAAATACCCCGTTCCATTCTAACCCCCCACTGATTTTCTGCGCCTTTCCTCTAGCGCTGAGCATGATCCCTCTTTATCAGGCTGTTTTGGGTTTTCCTCTCCATTCCTCAGGGAAGCTTCCCTGATTTTTTCCCAATTTCTACCAAATCGGATTACCTCAGCTTCTGTTGCGGTGTTCGGCAGCTTGATATGACTAGCATTGATTCCGATCTGGAAAAGAAGACCCAAAAGGTCATCAGGCGTTCTGAGTGGTGACATGATTACATGAAAGGCGGCAAGGTGATTTTCTTATTCTGCAAGACCCTCACAGGCAGAGCTGAGCTGAAACCTTTTGTCCTTCCTCCCTACACTGAAAAGAGATGCCCCTTTGGGCTCTTTTTCAGAGGTGGACAAAATGCCTTTCCACTGGGCAAGGACAGCAAAACACGGAGCTTCCTTATGGCCAAAGCACTCACTGTGGTACAAAGGTGACGTCACTGCCCACCACTTGAGAACACAAGAACCCAACCTCATTATGTTCTCCTGGATAGCCTTACTTGGAGTGAGCATGTCCAGTCACCTCTGCTAAGCAGGAAAGGCATGGGCCTGCGGCTGGATGGGTGACCACATGGTGGAAGTGGAGCAGAGGGTTGGACTTGAGGGCCTTATAGGCCCCTTCCAACTCGACTTCTCTTCCCTTCCCTTCTCTCCTATTCTACTGAAGATTGGCACAACCAGTACTTCCAGTGAAACCAGAACAAGCGCCCAGGTGGTCTTCTCAGCTCACAGAGCAAGCTCACCCACACTGTTCACTGGGTCACAACACAGACCGTGCAGGAACACTGGAAGATGCAGGAGGCTCAGTCACATTTCTGGCTGGTCTAACCCAGCACTGTCAACACTGACTGGCAGCAGCAGCTGCTGCTCTCCAGGTTACTGGCAGGACCTTTCCCGACACCACCTGGAGAAGCCCAGGATCAAAGCTGGGAACTTCTGTGAAGAAACACGTGCAGGTGCATCTCCCTGCAGGTGCATCTCACAGTATCTTGACAGAGGACCAGGCAGAGCAGATGGAGTGGAGCGATCTGCTCTGGGAAGAAGTATTACCTCAGCAGCAGCCTTTAGTTTCATGCTAATGTAGAGGTTTGAATCATCCCGATCACCAACCTTGAAAACAGGAGAAGAGGTCACACATGCCGTTAAACACAGAGTCTAGGTCAAATAAATGAACTGCATAAATGAATGAATGAATGAGTAAACCATAATTCCAAGAAGTGCCGTGTGATTTACAGGGGGGATTCCTTAGTCTTTTCTCCAGACACAGGGCAGGAAACAGACTTTCAGAGTGTCAACAACATGGCAGCTTTGCAGGCCCTTGGTTCTTCATTCGGGAAGAATCCTGCCGTTCAGTTTCGAGGCAGGGTGTTCTGCCCATCTGTCGAGAACCTTTTGCACACTCCAACTGGCCTTGCAAGCCTTCCTCAACTATCCTCAAAGTTGAGCTTTGCCACCCTGGAATTCTAGCTGGGAGAGAAAGTTGGCAAGTGGAGAAGGGCTAAGTAACCTTCATTCTAGCCCACTTCCAGAGATGCCTATAAATTCTTGGTGGCTCAGGATCCCAATACCTGATGGAGCATCCTTTCCCACCATGCACCTACCTGTACACTGCATTCATCACCTAAGGCCCTCCACCAGGTGCCTCGTTCACGATGACAACCAGGGCCTTTTCGCTGGTGGCTCCCCAATCCCAACAACAATGCAACAATGGCACATTTATATCCCCTCTTTTCTCCATGTAAGGAACTCAAGGTGACTTGCAAGGTTCTCCACCTTTCCATTCTCTCTTCCCAACAACAACCTGTGAAGCAGGTTGGGCTGAGAGTCAGTGACTGGGCCAAAACCACCCAGTGAGTTTCATGGCCAAGACGCAATTACTGCCTGGATTTCAAGCCCCAGTACAACACTCTAATCACCACGTCCACCGATTCTTGGTGGACTGACCTCTCCAAGACTGGCCTGGTACCAACACTGCTATCTTTTCAGTGCTAGGTTAAGATTCTCTTTTCCAGTCATTTCTCAGCATATAATGAGGCTTTTCATCAGATCTTGATTTAATTTCTTGTTGTGTCTTTACCATTGCCTTTTTAGCTACATCTATGTCTCTCTGGGTTGCAGTTATATATGTGTATGTATATGGCTTTTACACTATATTTTAAGGTTTTAATCTCTGTAAACAGCACAGAGAGTTTTAGCTAATGGTTGGTTTTGGAATGTAACAAATGAAATAAAAGAACTTTTCTCACACCATTTCTCTGCCCAAGGCTGCTTTGCAGAGAAGAAACAGTGGTTTTCAGCGAGAAACAAACAACTGTGGAATTCTATCTTTTGGACAGGCATAGGAAAAGCTCTGTTGCTTTTGCATTTGAGTGTGGATGTGGTGTATGTTACAGAACTGTTCCTACAAGTATGTACCATATTTTTCCGTCTATAAGACGCCCCCATGTATAGGATGCCCCCCACTTTTCCTACCCATCTCCAGCGAACAAGTAGCCGCCCCCCCCCCCGCGCCTCCCCCCCCCCCCGCCCCCCCCCCCATGCTCACCCCCCCCCCCCCATGTATCAGACACACCTTCATTTCTAAGTAAATGTTTCTACGAAAAAGTAGCATCTTATACACGGAAACTACGGTAATTCTGAGCCTCAGTTCCTGGTTCACGGCCACTGGATGAAACCAGCAACATTCTTGAGCTCAGCCATTCATGAGAGGGATCGTGTGGTGTGTAACCCAGGAGCAACTTGGGGGGCCATTTTCACCTCCCCGGCTCCCCTTAAGGCCTTGTTGCATGAGGTGCTGGAGAAATTCCATAGCAAAGCGCTCCCATGTTCCAAAAGCTTCCCATTTGGCTTGAGAACAAATCAGACTTTTTCTGTGTTCTGTAGCTCTAATGTGTGCTTAATGACATAAGCTGCTTAGAGATATTTTTAAATATGGGAGGCCGTGCATACATCTATTAAATAATAATGCAAATATTGCTTTGCTCCTATTGCCAAATTGCCACAGGATTACAAGCTCGTCCAAGTCTGACCTGGCCCCGAAATCTGCCCAACTAGCTGGGGAGTCTATACCCAAGTATGGGTACCCACACCATAAAGACTCACTCCCTGCTCGCCAGCTCCCAAACCTACAATACGCCTTTTACGTATCAGAGGAACATTAAAGGTTGGCGCTATGACAGCAAGCAGGTTGGGTTTGGCTCCTGACTGGTGGGAGGAAATGAGAAACTGTATTTCTCAACAGCCAGAGATATCCCACTATTATGCAAAAAAAGTCACACAGAGCCTTTACCTGCAGAATTGCGAGGCCTGGCCTGAAACCCGGGACTGTCTCCTTCATCTCTGCTACCTGGTTCTTCAGTCTCTGCCTTACTTGCCTAGAAGAAGAAGGGTTTGGAGTGCAGTGAGAGAGAGGAAAGAGAGAGAGAGTGGGAATTAATCATACACCAGGAATCAAACCTGCACCAATTATTCTGACATACCTAATCCCTAAATCCTTGTAGGCAAGGGGGGGTGGCTGTCATTCACCAGGAAGGAAAAAAAACCTCTGTATATGTTCAGAGGTGCTCTCAACGACTACTTTATTCATGGATGAGGTGAAGCTTGAACCTGGGTCTCTCAAGTCCTCGTCTAGCACACTTCCTGAGGCTTCCCCAATCTGATACCCAACCAGACGTATTACAGCTGCATAGCCCGATGAGGGGAAAGAAACTGGGTGATGGAAGTCGCAGTCCCAACCTATCTAGAAGGCACCAGGCTGTGGAATGCCAGCTCTTATAGCTACATCTCCCCAGAGCAGAGGACGTAAGAAAGCCATGCTGGATCAGACCAATGGCTGGATCAGACCTCCACCTGCCCAAGACCCTCAGCAAGGGGTGCATGCAGGCATGCCATCTCTGCCAATGGAAGCAGCACATAGCCAGGAAGGCTGGTGGCCATTTATAACCTCCTCCACCTCCAGGTATTTGTCCAATCCCCTTTTAAAGCCACCCAAATCGGTAGCCATCTCTACTTCCAGCGGCTGGGAGTTCCACAGTTTAACTATGCACTGTGTGAAGAGAGAATCTTCAGTTCATTGTTCTACAAAAGATAAATAAATGCTGTATCTATTTATTGATGATACTTATATACTGTTAAATATGAAATGTAAAACATTTAAAATACAATATTGAAAACAATTCCTGAAGAAGCAGTAACATGGAGAAGCAAGATTAAGGACATGATCCTATCCAGGTTTAGCCAGAAGAAACAGCCTATGACTCCCGGTTTGCCCCAGTAAGCCTTTTTAATTTCTGAACTTGCACAGGACTGCAAGCCAGGGAAGGCTTGGGAGAACAGTGTGTTTTCATGAGATGTTTGAAACATGTCATATTTTCAGCATACACAAACTAGACCTGATCTGAAAAGACAGAGCTGGGGAAACCTGTAGTCCATTTAAACCCAATAAGGTTTCAAAGAATACAGCAAGTAGAAACTGTCACAAGGATAAGCAAATTGCTATTACACCCACCCTGAAAGTGGGACCAACTTCAAACACTGCCCTGCACAGTTGCTAATAATTACATTTCAGCGCCATCTAGTGGGCTTAAGATGCAATCGATAAGAGAGACATTGTATGACCCACTTTTGGCCTGTAGCTCATGAGAGCATTTGATGGGGAAGTTGTGAATTGGCACATAGCCCCCAGGATGAGAAAAAGGTCCAGAGTTCATGCTGCCTTCCTGGAATTTGTCTGATTTTTTGTGCGGGTTTTGCACTTCAAAATTGAGTATAATGCCTGCTCTGAAAAAGTTAACACCACAGAATTTAATTTAAGCTAGCATTTTCCCCATTCTTGGTTAAGCCTATATTTTTTCCAGTCCTGGTTAAGTGAGTAACTAGATTTGCATGTACCACTAACCTGAGCCAGGGTTTGTTGTCCCACACAGGGTTTGTCTGGCAGATATTCTGCTGTAAACCACTCAGAGAGCTTTGGTGGTATAGAAATATTAATAACTGAATAAACCATGCTTTGTTTTCTCAATCCCAGTGTAGTCTAGCTTCTCTCCCTCTTGCCTGTTCCCTTCCTGTAATCCAAATGCCTTTGCAGGGCTACCTCAGAGATCAGTCCTGCCTTATCTACAACCTGGCAAAATAACCCACGAACATAACAACAAACCATGGTTTAAACAACCCAGTTCCCAAACTACAGGTTGTCTTTTTGGCTTGTTTATGGTTAGCAAATGATGGTGTTAGTACAGCTGAGTTCATACACCATGCATTCAACAATGCACAGCATGGATTAGCATCATGCGCTAATCAGGTCAGTATGTTTCAAAGGCCAGCATTAGCAGCTCATGGCTTGAGTTGCTGCCGAACAGTCCCAAAACCTTGGTGGAGACCAGTGGGGATGCCTGCCCTGGAACCCTGCTCAATTTTGTTCTGGCCTGGCACTCTGACTAACTGGGTGGATGGAACCAGTCATCCTTCTGATCTCCCCCAGTACCCCAACTTGACATTATGAGAAACCAGCTGCCCTGCACTACTAAATCCACCACGGCCTTCTGGAGGATACTTGCTCTAGGACCTTTCCAATCTGGAGCAGGCTCTGCTATCCCCATTTATCTATCACAAACATGTTGACTCTTTTCCAGCCCAAGGGCCACATTCATGTTTGGAGAAGCTTTCAAGTCTGCATTCCAGTGGGGGGCAATGCAAAAGAATGGAGAGCAAACTGAAAACAGAGGCCCTAAATTTTCAGCTTGTTTTCATTTCCTGCAGTGCCAAAGCCGAGCAATCACCAGATGAGCAGTGGCAGGAAAGGGAGAGGTTTCCGGTAAACGCCTATGGGCCAGAAGGCTGACCACATCTGCACCACAGGCCTGGTGCGCCATACCACCAATGCATCCTGTTTCCCTAAGTGTGTAAAACCAGAAGCAATTTCCAAATGGGCAAAAACTAGCACATGTGACAGAGCCTTCAGCTGTCCACACTTCCTCTACTGACGTTTATTTCACAATTTTTGGTTCATTTGATTTGGCAGTTCCTGTTAGAAAAAAATTAATGAATAAGAGAGCTGAGCTGCAAAGGACATTTGTCCTAAATGTCAGTTAATATTTCACCAAATCCCACTTCTAATGATCCTTTGCTTGGCATAGGATAATGTTAGCCAGTCCGCTCCCTCTTTGTCCCCACCATGTAGCCACTTCCGGATTTTTCCACTGCCACTGAAACAAAAACAGGTTATTTCGCATTTCCCCACATTTCCCCCTAATTTAAGCTTGAGGAAAAAGTCATTGATTGGCCAATCACCTCCGCTACTGCACTTTGCCCCATAAAAGTGAAGAGATTTGAATCTGCAGATCTAAGCTATTTATGAAAGGTCCAGAGAAGCTAAAGGCACAATACTGTGCCTGCTTAGACAGGGGGAAAGGCAAAATTGGCACCATTCTCTGGCATTCCCCCAGCTGGGAACACTTGGCATTTTTTCCTGTCTTAAGATGCATAGGATTGTACCCTGCATTACAAAGGATGCTGATTCTTCCCACACAGTGTGTCCTGATTATTAGACAGAACATGCATAAATTAAAAAAATCAGGAGGGAGGGAGGCAGATGAAAGATTGGCGTTTGTCATACATAACAGCTCGTGAGCTGAACAAAACTGCAACTCAAGCATTTGACTTCTACGGAACTCTGGAAAATGTGTCGCACAATTATCCCATTTTGGCCTCTCAACAACCCTGTGAGGTAGGCCAAGCTACAGGGCAATGACCTTGGATGCTTCATGGCTGACCAGATTTGCTCTCAAGGCTTCTAAGACCAGCTGTGCCCATTACTCCAGGCATACTGAAATGCACCTTTTTGGGAGAAATGTGCCTTTACAAAATTGTTTTGCAAACTGCTACAATTGTAAAATCACAGGGCACTCAAAGGTCAGATTTCTGTGCAATGAAATCCAAGGCGCAGCTGTGAACTCACATACAAAAAATGCAACCTCGAATCGTTACATTCATGGATCTCTGGATCCATGCTGACAAGCATTATCTAATAGACTGCACATGAGACTTGTGACTCCAAAAGAAGGTTTGTAGAAAGAAACATGCCTGAAGTCCTCCCTTCCCATTCCCAACATGCATATGAAAAGACACCCTCTCTCTACACACACAGGCCTTAAACAATGTGGCATCTACCTGGCTTTCCCATCTCCACTTTTGTGCTCCCTCCTCCTTCAACTCTACCAGTTGGAGATAAAGCAAGAGGGAAATTTCTTTTACTCTCCTTGAAGCGCTCCCTTTCATCTTCAATCCAAACATCACCAGCAGCTCAATGTGGGCAAGTCATTAAAATGTGCTTCTGCATAGGAAACACACACAATTCTCTGCATACAAACACAGAGTAGGGTTGCAAAGCAGAGTAGCCCCCAGTTGCTGCGTGGCCCAAACCCAGAGCACCAGCTGGCTTGTTTGCTTTCCCTTTTTCCCAGCATGCCACCCTGGGGACCCTTGCCTGATCTCGGGGCCCCTGGAGCTCCAACAGGTTGTTGCGGTATCCAATCCTTCCAGACCGATCCCAGCACAGGTTGCGAGAAGCAGTAAGAGAGCTATTCGACAAGAGCGGCAAAACCCCCCTCCAACCTTGGCAATTTTGCCAGATCTGTCTACTTGTCCCTTGGCTTATTGGCCAGTCATGAAATCTGCATATATTTTCCTGTCAAGCAAAAAGTGACAATTTCCAAAACAGTTTTTTAAAAGCACCATTGAGACTCCAGAATGAGAAGAAATGAACCAGGTGCTCTTCTAATGTGGCCCAATTCACTCCATTCCACCCATCCAGCCACCTTCTCAGGGAGCTTCAACAGCTGTCAGGAAAGCACACTAATCACCCCAGAAGGATCTCTCTCGATTTGCCGGAGACTCAAGAAATGTCCCAAAGGTAGAGGTCACTGAGAAGTGTCAGTTCAACACACCAAGCCTGGAAGGTTAGTCCTGCAACCCATCCTTTTTTGGGCCCTTACCTGAATGTTTTTCCCCACCTGCCAGGTGTTCAGCTGGCAATTGACAGCTAAGCCCTTGACAGCTGTTGACTGTTCACAATGCAACCTCTGCGCAGTCTTGTCTCATCACTCTAGTACCACTTGACAGCTGTTCCTGACAAAGCAGCAGAGCAGGCAAGGCTGCCTATGCTGGAAGAGCGGAAGGGCACACCTGGGCAACTGCAACGGACAGGTAACACGATACCCATGATACATGATGTAGGCCAGCCCCTCACACCCCTTGGTGGCATCTCGGAGGGAAGAAAAACCCCACAGAGAACAAAAAGTGGTCACAGTCAGAACAGGGGCAGGGGAGATGGGGCAGGTTTGCTGCAGCAGGTGTGCAGGCCTTCACTGGGATACTG